GACTAACGAGGTCTTACCTTTTAACGTTGACCTCAAGCTTATTACCTCATATTATGTAGTTGAATGTCAATGTATTCAGGCAATTAATAAAAGTTCCGCCATTTTGCAGTAGTTGCAGTAGGGTTGTGAAGCATTTGCTAGGCTCTTCAAAAAGATGTGTCCCTTTCCATTTAATTTTTTCCCAGATGTCGCCCAGTCGCCATCTTGAAAGTTTCATTTGTCAATTCTACTTCAAAATATTTTTTGAGTTTCCTCCTTCAAAAAATGAAAGGGGGGGCACTAAAGAAATGCACTGTATGATACAGAAATAATCTCATATATCTGAGTTCATTTAGGTAATGCTGCCCCAAAGCTGAATGATTTGCCCCTTGATTCATCAATATTTGTAGCTCTATGAAATTCAAGCAGATAGGCACATTTTTTCAGATACCCCCAATGGAAGAAATCATTTAAATTTGGGCGGTCATTCAAACGTACCCGGTATAGATAGAAATCTACCAGGAAATGTATTTAGGAGGAATTGTTTCACTGGTCAAGCATTGTAACTAAGAACCAACTGTTTCCAAAATTGATAGAAATTTGGAATAATTTGATTTTGTGGTAGCTGTAACTGTTCGACAGCAGTTAGGTTACCATCGATAAAGGAAGGACCTATAATATACTTTTCCACCGTACTTCCACGGTACTGAGTACACACATAAATATTCAGATGCTGATTTTATCGAGACCAATATCGAACAATGGATGAGTGTTTTCTACGTGATAAAAATGATGACTCATCTGTAAATAATACGTTTTTCAAAAATGAATATTTTTTTTCAACATGTTTCCACAAAATTCCATTCGTCTAATATGGTCGCCAGGAAGCTTGTATACTTTATAAAAATGGTGATTATTCCTTTCCAAAATATTCCGAACATTTCTGTCACATTGATTTGATCTGCAATTTGTCAGCCCATGCAAGGTTTACTGGCTTTAACAGCGACACATACTGTTATTTCCCTGTTTTGATGGTTTTCATTATTGGGCTTTAGAAGTGATTCATCGGAATTTCGACACATCTGGTGATTCTGAACACATCTACATTTCTCGAACTTTTCATTGATTCGACAAATGGTAGTCTGTGACGGAATTGACCTAGTTTCAAATGCAACAATGAATAGATTTATTGTACCTCTCTCGAATCGAGTGACCACAAAAATACCACTTTGAAATTTGTATCTTGTCTTCCTTTGTGAACGTGAATATTTTAGAGTTAGCAAGAAACCATTTTAATCGTTGGATACTGGCTACTACCTTAAGGTGCGTATTCACCAAAAAAGCAGGTACGAGCGAACAAGAGTGAACAAGAATTCTGCATCAATAATCGTCTGGTGAGTATGGGCTAGCGAGCGAGCGAATGGAACTCCCGTTCACACTAAACAACCGCGAACAAGTATTTTCTTTGATGTACCGCCTTTTTCAAGCATACGTTCGCTCGTTCGCTAGATCGTACTCACCAGACGATTATTGATGCAGAATGCTCGTTTACTCTTATTCGCTCTTGTTCGCTCGTGCTCGCTGTTTTGGTGGATACGTACCTTAACATATGAGTTGCTCGAGTTGAACAATGCAAATCTTTAATTTCAAACTGGTCGACTGCTATTGCGGACTCGTCCGATGTGCATTGGGATTCGTTCCAATATTTGTTTTCCAATCTGTACAACTACTGATCACAATGTTACAACAAACAGTTATTTTCAAAGTTGAAGTCATCTTGATTTATAGCCTAACACATGTTTGTTCGCTCATTTCTTTCCGTTGCCCCTATAGTTCTTTCTGAACTTGCTATTATGTTGATATAGATTTTCTATTCCTGCTGTGCTACTTTTCTTATTTTAAAAATTCCAGCCAAAAGTTTTCGTACGGGTGTTACTCATTCATATTCATTTTGATTTGCAGTTCCTAAACACTTCAAAAAGCCTCGATTCATGGATACATTGAAGGCAATATTAACCGACGAAGGACTGGTATCCTTCGAATGCAAAGTGGTNTGGAATGATTCAATTTGTGTCAGATGTCAAATTCAATAATAAAAACTCTTCAATTTTATCTAACCTCAGTTAAAATCGGATTTGTGCATACATATTCATTTTGTACATCCTTAAAACGTATTTGATAAAATGTTTTCAGCACTTTATAAACTATGACAATAAAAATAAAGCAGAAACTGACAACTGACGTAACGTAACGTCAAATTCCGTTTCAAAACCAACCTCACGCTAGTATTGAATCATCATGAATACGTTTCAAATCATAATAGATGTGACGTCATCGTTTCAACGCCAGTATGAATGTATTTGAATCAGAAACGAATACGTTTTGAAAACATGAGTGCCAGAAAACGCCTTAAGGTGTCGGATTTTCGTGACGGTGTGCACACTCATCGTAGAAATTCACTCTCATAATTTTTCCCTAACGCGCCAAAAGGAAAATTTGTAAAAAAATTATTTTCATTCGGAACATATCATTTGATATTCAGAATGTATAACTGAAACTCATCAGATTTTATTATCTATGTCAAAATATCCTTTTTTATTTCAACTACATTTCAGTGGCTGTACCTCCCTGGCCAAAATCGATACAATGGTATAACTCCGAAGGAAGAATCAGTGATGAACAGCCAGTTGGAAGATACAAGCAAATGGCAGATGGAATTGGAGGGTACATGTTAGAAGTAAAACCTACAGAAGCATCAGATCAAGGCGAATGGAAGTGTGTTGCTACGAGCGATGACGGTGTCGTTTCCATTTCTACTTGTGAAGTCAAAATGTTGAGTGAGTAACCTAAATTCTGGTCATGGTGAAATTTTCCTGATATTTGTGTATACCACACCAATAGATTGTTTGACTTGAATTTCCTTAGTTCGGATTTCCATTGTCTAATATGAATCGAAATCTATGTAAGAACAAATAAAATTGAAATCAATAACTGAAATATCAATTATATTAAGCAATAAAACCTGAAATAAAATCACAATAGAACAAATAATATATTCAAAATACAAAATGAAAATGACTTCAGAGTAAAAAGAAATAAAGAAGAATAAAAGAAGCAAAACATTAAAAATAAATTGAAAAAATTAAAAGAGAATTCAAACTATCACTTCACGACGTTTCGGTTGTTCGTATCCACAATCGTCTTCGGGTGATGACTGGACTATTCCTCCGAGAAATGACTATTCATAGGTCATTCGAGCGCTTTCACCTATCCCATCTGTCCTCTTTCCGCTTCATCAGTTTAGCGGGAGTTGACCGTTTGGCAGGACTTGATCGTTTCACAGGAGTTGACCATTTGGTAGGAGTTGACCAATGTTTTTATATGTTGCATATTTCTACGCTAGCTTGGCTGAATGCGTCGTTGAACAACTATATGCAGCTTCTTTAAACTTCCTCCTGAACCAGTGTTCCTCTCTGTGGATGATCTCAGCTTGAGACCAGTTGATGTAGTAATAATTATTCCAAACATGCTTTGATATTTTCGATTCGCTGGTTTTCCCTCGCTATGGTTTCCTTGTGCTCGACAATGCAGACTCTCAATGGCCTTCTAGTTTCACCAATATAGGATTTTCCGCACTCACAGAATCCGGTAAATGCAATTCTTGGAATCGCATTCCGCGTTTGATGGCTTGGTTTTCGTGAGGCTGCTGCGGATGGTATTTCCGGATCTGAAGAAGATTCTGATGTACTTGGATCCAATTCTTCTCATCCTTTCCGACAATTCTCTGATGCAGGGAAGTTCAAGCACTGGTTGTGATGGTTTCTCTTCCTTGCAAGGCTCAGGTTTTGTTGCTCAATATAATTGATATTACGGCTATTTATTCTGATTTGATTTGTTCTTTCATAGATTTCGAATCATTGCAGAATTATCATAGACAATGGAAGTCCGAACCAATGAACTCCATAATAAAACATTATCAACCACTTTCAAACAAACATTATTTGACGATGAACGAATGGAATTTTCCATTGTCTAATCTCAACATCATGTTCATCCATCTTATATCAATTTTGGAATCATATACCGCCATCAAATATATTTTCATTACCACAAATAGGCGAATCAATTTTGCTTTCAACTTACAATGAGTAATAAACATTCAACCTCAGACGTAGAATAAATCCAAAACTGGCACTTTGGCAAATAACCAGAAAAGCAATACTATTCTCTACTTATCTACTGGAGACGCCAACTTGATTGGTGAAACGCGCGTCGAGAAAAATAACACATTTCTGATAAAAAATACTTGTTTTGAAATTGAATTCGCCTTCCTGAAAAGGCAGATTTACAATTGGATGTTCAAAACAAATAGAAAGTCGGCATAGATTCATCTTTTCAGTGATGGCGACGTTAAAAACAAAGTAGCATCACAAAACCTTTTATTTTCGTAAGAATTATTTCATTCAACCACATTTTCTGGTTTCTGTTTCTTCTTCTTCTTCTGCTTCTTATTCTCTCATGAGCAATGCTCTCCAAATTATTGCAAAGTGTGACACGATTCAGTAAACATATCGCAGGGAAAATTACATAAACTACATCAAGTTTCGTAGATTGTCATTTCGCATAAGGAAGTTTCAGAAAAAAACTCAAATGTTTATCTTCAGTATGCCACTATATTTGTATTTGCTCAGAATTTGCTTTGCCTTCAAAATTTTCTATTTGAAGATGTTTCTAATCTCCTTCAGTTTTTTTTCTTCTTGATTCATCAGGCTATCCATTCAATTCATTCTAGTAACACTTCTTTTGTAATATTTTCATTGGTCAGTTAACAAAACTGCAACCGCAAAAGTTTTGGATTCTCATCAAGTATTGATAATTCCATAACAATTTTTTCTCCAAAAGCTTATTATATCTCCCTTTCCATTTCTTTTTGTTCTCTCTCAAAACTAAACCTAATTCCAATTTGTACACAGAATCATTTAAGGTAACTTTTGCCTCATTTTATGACGTGAAGCTGGTCCTAGTTGAAATATATCCTACTTGAAGATATCATCAGAGACAGTTTTTAAGAATCCGTTCAGTTTCTGCCTGATGTTGAATTTCAGACTTTACTTGCGAAAGCTCCGTTATGACAGTGGGCTCAGCTGTTTTTAATGCACTGCAACTATCTGCATGATTTCTATCTAATGTAGACAATAGATCTTTCGAAACAAATACTTTTATATGAACACTGAATTATACAGAAGATACTTTTCTCTCTACTCAGTTTGTATTCCAAACATTCGTTATGTAATAACGATTTTTATGTCACGGGATAAGTTTGATCTTATTATGTCATCGATAACATCGTAATGACATTCATTCACCTATTTGATTAAATCCCAGCCAAAAGAAATCTTATTTGAATTGAAGGGGTTATATTTTTAGGAGTTATTAATTTTTGGGAAAAAAAGTTTGTGGCTTTCTACTACTCCATCTTGATACAAAAAATCGTAATTCATGAATGAATTGTGTGTATTTTCTATAATGTTATCCAATTTGGTACTGAAGAGCCTTAGGGCAAGTGTCTTACAGCGAAACATCGATGTCTACCAGTGAGGATGACAGTGTTCCATGTAAGTGCAATTTGTTTCCATTCATGCAAAGTAGAACTCCTGTGAATGATATATGATTTTATTCCATACCGAATGTTTGGAATACAAACTGAGTAGAGAAAAGTATCTTCTATATAATTCAGTGTTCATGTAAAAGTATTTGTTTTGAAAGATTTTTTTCTTTCGTGTAATTTGATGTTTATATGAAAGTAGCTGTTTCAGGAAAGCTTTCTTCCAGTTTGTGTCTGAAAGTTACTTCTTTGCATGATCTACACATCCATGTATAGAGTTACTTATTTTGAAATTGATTACTTCCTTCCTTTCTTTGGAAGATTCCCATATTTTTTGTATCAAGTTGGAGTAGTAGAGAGCCAAAAAATTTCTTTCCCAAGAGTTATAGGTGTATTCCATATTGTGTTGAATAAGTATGAAATATCTTATGATTCATTTCCTGAACACAACTTATACATATGTGGCAAATAAGTATCGGTACACACAAATCTCAAGGCATTCTTGGCGGCGTCCGCAATAGAAGTCGATCATTCCAAAATTAGAGACTTGTTCGATACGGAATGTCAGTTATTTCTTTGAACCACTACATGTTGGTACATTGTTGATGTGTGCCTGTGTCCGCTAAACCGGAACAACCGATTCATAAGTATGAAAATGTGTGTATATCTGACTCTAAGGAAAAAACTTTGCGACGTCAAAGCTCCATTATGTGCAAGTATTTATAATCATTTGCGAAAAAATGTATGCTGTTACCTTTTTGTCATAAGTACGTCGAAAGTGAAAGACATGTTTCGAACTGGAAACTGAAGGAAAAGCTAATCAAAAAAATCTACGAACCTGATTTGATGAAGCTTCAAGTCAACCAACAATAACCAAGTATACAGTGCATTTTTTTTAATGTTCACTCCTTTTATTTTCTGAACGAGTCAATTAAAAAAATTGAAATTTGGGATAATGTAATTAATGCGTGAATACTTTATATTGAAGTGAAATTGACAGATGAAGCTTTCAAGATGACGACTGGGCGCCATCTGGGAAAAAAATTAAATAGAAACGGGGGTCTTGTGATACATCATTATGAAGTTCCTGACGAATACTTCACAACCCTAGAAGATGAAGTCAATATCTTTAGCTACTACAAAATGGCGGAACATTTAATAATTTCCTTAAGACAAACTCATTAATATCCATATTTCTAAAAATATTCCTTTTTATCTGCCATATGGCAATTCCAACAACCCGATAAAATTTGTTAAGTTTTTTTTGATAGAATCGACAAAAAATGTAAGTACAACAATGAACATCATTGTTCAATTAGAATAATCTCATTTAGTTTTCGGTTTTACTAGTAGAAAGGTACCACGTCAACAATCTCTAAAATGGTCATTTCTCGTTCATTGGAAGGAAAAATTGAAGCAATTTTTATTTACGGTGCGACGTGTAACTTTCACGAGACGGAAAGGATTTTCAATAAACGTTTTCGGAATCGTCCTATCTGTAGAAAATATTTGAGGGAACTTGTATCCAAATTCACAACTACCGGTAGTGTACATAATAAATATAGTTAAGTTCGATGTTTTTCAAAAGCGTGTTTTTAGTCTTTTTGAACTATATTTATAATCTAAACTTTGGGATCAATCAGTCGTATATTGTTTAGGAAAATGGTCATTGATATTTTCCGATTCCGGAGAGGGAGCCTGAAGCAAGCTACCAAGCCCAAGGCAGTAGGCGTGCAAAGGAGGGTTACAAATAAGGCAGCAGGCGCGTGTGATAATAAAAAAAAATACTTTTTTCAAATGAAGAAATACATGTGAAGTGAGTTCGAATTATATCAATGAGGTTACGTACAGCGCCATCTGCCCGCAAATAGATCAGGCAATGATGTCGATATATCAAGACGATGACGTACAGCGCTGTCTGCCCGCGAATAGATCAAGTAATAATGTCGATAATTCTGTCAAATACAGATCCCGAGTTCGAGAGTTACAAACACAGTACAGCGCCATCTGCCCGCGAATAGAGTAAGCAATATTGTTAATAATTCTGTCAAATACAGATCGCGATATGAAATGAAAAGAAGAGTTACAAACAAAAACAATACATACATACAGGTGAATCTAATATAAAACGTGTAATAAAAAGCCCCCAGGTCATCCGTCCATTCCGGAATGACAGCATGTGCAAATAATTGGTGAGATGGTAGCGAATCCTGAACAGTCTACTTATTCCGTCGCGAATGTTTGAGAGGTGTTTCCTCCTACTTTTGAAGCGGAATAGGTATCATCCATACAAAATTAAAATTGTACACCATTCAATTGAAGATGACCCTGATCGAAGAACAGAACTCTGCGAAATCATGACGGAAACCATTGCAAGGCATCATACCTATCTCCACAATATTTATTATAGTGACGAATGTACTTTTTTTTCAAACGGCAATGTTCACAGACAAAATTGCCGTTATTAAAGTGACACCAACCCTCTCGTTTTCCTGGAAACACATATCCAATATTCAGAAAAAAATTAAGTTTGGGCAAAAATATTGGAAAACCATATTGTAGGACCTCTATTTATTGATGAAAATTCAACAGAGAAACTGTATTTGAATATGCTGTAAACTACTGTTGACCCTCTCATCACTGAAATCGTCGAAGCCAATCCTAATGAATTCGATATGGATATTATATTCCAACAAAATGGAGCACCATCAAATTACTCCAGACAAGTGAGTAACTATTTGGATACTACTTTTCCCAGTCGTTGGATTGGCCGACGAGGTCCTACAGAATGGCCAGCTCGCTCGCTGACACCTTTGGTGTCAAATCTGGCGAGCGGGCTGGCCATTCTGAAGCAAGAGATGTTCGAAATTGAACTTGCTTCAATATTGGATATAGGGCAGAGAATAATAAATNAACATATGAGTTGCTCGAGTTGAACAATGCAAATCTTTAATTTCAAACTGGTCGACTGCTATTGCGGACTCGTCCGATGTGCATTGGGATTCGTTCCAATATTTGTTTTCCAATCTGTACAACTACTGATCACAATGTTACAACAAACAGTTATTTTCAAAGTTGAAGTCATCTTGATTTATAGCCTAACACATGTTTGTTCGCTCATTTCTTTCCGTTGCCCCTATAGTTCTTTCTGAACTTGCTATTATGTTGATATAGATTTTCTATTCCTGCTGTGCTACTTTTCTTATTTTAAAAATTCCAGCCAAAAGTTTTCGTACGGGTGTTACTCATTCATATTCATTTTGATTTGCAGTTCCTAAACACTTCAAAAAGCCTCGATTCATGGATACATTGAAGGCAATATTAACCGACGAAGGACTGGTATCCTTCGAATGCAAAGTGGTTGGATCTCCAACACCTCTATTGAGGTGGTTTAAAGACGGACAAGAGTTGAAACCGGGTGACGTGTATCAACTAACAGGAACAAATTCTCTCGGATCCTATTGTTGCATTGCCAAAAATTGTATGGGTGAAGCGAGAAGTTCTGCCGAACTTACTGTTGAAGACATCCAAGGCCAACTGAACGATGAAGAACGAGAACAGTTGGTGTCTAGGAGCCAAGCGCCAAAATTCCTCCATGGACTTAAGAGCAGTGAAGCTAGAATCAATGAGCCGTTTAGATTTACAATTCAAGGTGAGATGAAACTATTCAATCATTGCGATATTTCGAGAAGGAGATGGATTCTGGTTAGTGTATGATATTAATGGAACGCTGTTTTACTTTTTATTATTTCAAACGTTCATTACTCAATTCATTGTATTTGCATGTATTTGTTGGTTACAAAAACAAGATGGTTATTCTTGAAATGTATTATATTTCAGATGACAGGTGATTTTTAATGGTCATTGAATTATTGCTTTAAGATTATTGCAAAATTGAACGCCAATTCAATTTTTATTGTATTGAAAAATGATCAAAATTCATGCAGTTCAATTCAGTGATAAAAAAACGTTTTTAATTGATAGTTAGGAATATAAATTGAATTAACGTTTTAATTTCTCACAAGATTTTAACTACTGTATAAAATGTAGGTAAGTTGTTTATGTGACTGTTGAATTATAATGAAACTTTGAATCCACTTTCCGAAGATATAATTTTTTGAATATAATTTTAATAAATATGTTCGAATAACTGTAAAAGTTTTCTCATGAAACAATCTTGGTGATGATTACAAAATTTCGTTTGTCTTAAAATATAGTACAGGTATTTTCATGGTTGAATATTCTAAAAACTTTTATATTTCAATATGATATACACTTTCATACATGAATTTGAAATTTTTTTGCATCTTGAAATATTGATAATCTGAAAATTTATCTCGACTTTTTTATTTGCACTGCATAAGTACTATATTATTTGCACTGTATATGATTGTATCATTGAAAGTACTGATTCTGTTTGGTTAGACATTCGATATCTTCATTGCCGTCGATTGCATAAAAATTTTGGTTTTTCAAAATATGCAGTATATTTACTTTCAATTATTTTCCAGTAAGTGTAACTACGCCACTCTCTCTGATATCCTGGTTCCGAGACGACCAACCAGTGACCAACGAACCAGAAAAGTATACGATTTACCGTGAAAATTTGGGAGTATGCCACTTGGACATTAGACCAGTGGAACTGAATGACCAAGCGGAATGGAAATGTGTTGCTACAAACGATTTCGGACATTCAGTCACGTCCTGTTTTCTGAAATTGTTCATTCCCAAACATTTCCGGAAACCGAAATTTCTGGAATGTTTGCGAGCCGTACTTTCCGACGAAGGTGCAGTTAATTTAGAATGTAAAGTCATCGGTGTGCCCCAGCCAGTATTGAAATGGTATAAAGACGGTATGGAATTGAAACCTGGGGATATTCATCGAATCACGTCAGGAGAGGTGAGTAGAGTTTTGTTGATAATGACGAAACAATAAAAACGCGATAGAAACTTTATGTGTCGACTTTCAACCGGTTCTCACTCAAAAGTGATAACAATTTCACCCAAATCTGTACGAAATGTACAAGATGTGTACACTTTTTTGCATATTGTCGTAAACTGATATTATAATAATAACCATGTACAGTTACTATAGTAACGTCCAAAATTCGAAGTAATAGCCAACTTTTCTGAATACTATGCACGAGGGTGCACGAGGGACAGCTATACGCCGTCTGATCAAAAAATAAGGTTACTTTCAATTTCTCTCAAAAAACTATTCTGCCCTCGTAAGTCAAAAAGGCGTATCTTAAATTTCCTTGTTTTGAGATATAAGGAATTTTAATGAATTTCAAAACCGCACCTACATAGTCAAATTTTGTTATGTTTTTTTTTGGTAAATACAATAAAGATTGACACGACAATGACATGGTAATTGACTTGTCTTACATAAACTACTATTTTAGTTTCAAACTGAGATACGGCTAATTGGCTGAGGAATTGTGAACAAAAATTTGAGATACGTCTCTTTGCGCTAACAATCAATTAATAGATAACGTTTGATTCTGTTTCTTACCACATGGACTTGGATAGAATATTGAATAATAAATGAAAAATTATCCAGAAATGATTCATTGATAATGTGTTACATGAAGAATACGCTACATTCGTGGATATTGGAAGAATGTTTCAGAGAATAAAACAGATTCATATTGGAAATAAACCCAAAAGTTAACTAGAATACAAATAGAGAAACATAAATTTTGTTCAGTTCTCATCTGAAACTGGAAGAGTGTCCAAGAATTACAACCAATTTTTCATAATCCCAGACAAATTTTTATCTTCTGCGAAGCATTTCAAGATTTATCGTTTGTTTTTTGGGTGGCCACAGTTTTCCTCTTTGGACTTGCGTCCAAATTGTAAGGGACATACTCTTCATCGAAATGACGTGCCCGTTTATATTTGTTGCTTAAACGTTCCTTAAAGAACTCTTGTTTTATTTTCTTATTCAAAGTCAACATAACTAAGTGACGTCTCCGAGATCCATTAGATTTGTCCATGATTAGATCTAAAACAACATAAAGGGTTAAATTTTCTTTTTTTCGGTGGTAAATTTTGTATTTACTCACCTTATAAGATATTACTGGCAATATAAAAACATGTAACTTTTTTCTCTTCACTTTTTCTCAATCTTTTCTTCTATAAAAATTGATTTTCAAACTGCATTTGACGGAGTTGATAACTAAACAACAAACTTTACAGATGAGGCTGATAAGAACTCTTCACAGCGCTGATAGTGCGGAAAATTGAGATATCAATCAGGGAAGCTACTAATTGTGAGTGATGGAGATGTATCTCTGTAAAAGTCAAATTGTAAATTGCCAGAAATCCTAGGCGAAGTAGACGCATCTCTGAGAAGCGGCAGTTTTGCTTAGAAATGTGAGTTACGTCCAAACTGCTCAGGTTTTTGTTTCATTTTTGAGATACGTCCTATATTTCTAGCACTTCAGCTGCACAATACGGACGAGATTCGTCTAATTCGCTAAGGAAATGGATTGAATACAACTCAAAGTGTCCTTATATGAAGGAATGAGAAATTCAGTGAAATTTTAGATACATATATCAGGTTTTTGTTTCATTTTTGAGATACGTCCTATATTTCTAGCACTTCAGCTGCACAATACGGACGAGATTCGTCTAATTCGCTAAGGAAATGGTTGAATACAACTCAAAGTGTCCTTATATAAAGGAATGAGAAATTCAGTGAAATTTAAGATACATATCTTTGGCTTAGGAAGGCAGTATTCATTCATTCATTCGCTTCTTATTTTGTCCACTTGGAAGTAGTCCCCATCAGATATAATACACTTGCGCCAGCGTTTTTTCCAATCCTCGAAACTTTTGTGATACGCACATTTTGATATGTCTCTTCAATCATCGCAATACGTTGTTCTTTCATGAGCCGCTTCAATATTGAAAACAGAAAAAAGTCGCAGTAGGGCTCAAATCTGGTGAATACGGTGGCTGAGGCATGATAACAGTATTGTTTTTGGCCAAAAAAATACGAACGAGTGAGCAGGTATATTATCGTGTTGCAAACACAAATAATTAGTTTTCCAGAACACCGGATATTTTCTTCGTATCGCAATCGGCTCATAATTTCAAGATAATAGTCGATTTTTTGGTCAAAATTCAGCAATTTTGGAACGAACTTCCCTGCCACAGGCTTCTTGTCCAAAATTTCCAAAAAAATTGCATGGCATTATCCAACCGCTATCTATGCCGACATCCTCAGCAACTTCTCTAATAGTGATTTGACGATTCTCCATTACATTTTTCACTTTCTCAACATTTTTGTCGGTTTTTGATGTGCTGGGGCGTCTAGGGTGCTGGTATCGTCATTCACATCTTCTCGACCTTCTGTGAAAAGTGTTTTCGAGCACTTGATTCCATAATTTTTTCAACAAAATTTGATGCATATTCTCAAACTTATTGTTTTCTTCAATAGCATAAAATCGCTGAACACGCAAAACACTTCTGACAAACTAAACAGCTGAAACTGTGAACATATATTCGGGACGATTGTGCCAACATAAAAAAATTAAAGAATTGCCAATCGAATGTACGTAACACGAAAAATTTGAACATTTGCCTCATTTTTTGAACAAAAATCATCGTATAGGTTGAATCTTAAAATAAATTGATAACAAAAGATTGTGTTTTGAATTTGACTTCGATAGCCTCAGGAAAATATGTGTATATACGATTCCATAAAATATGAAATAATGAACGCCCTATTATACAGTGGGTTCCATTCAAAACGAGTCACCCTGAATAACTTTTGGTACAATGATTTCCAGGTAAAATAAAAAACCACGTCAACAATAGTTTACAGAGGGACACATTTTGCCATATTAACATTTGATATTACTTCCCCTATCGCACCCCCAGAGCATGGTGTGCAATAGGGGATCACCCTATATTATTTTTCATTATCATAATGAGCAAATTTCAACAAAGTATAAACCATATGGTCTGAAGCTTGTGGTTCGGGAGCTACAAATTATTTTAGTCGAAAACGAGCCACCCTGAATAACTTTTGAAACAATGATTCGCAAGAAAAATAAAAAAACAGGTCAACAATTATACAGGAGGCCAGAGACAAATATGGAAGCAATAAATCAGAAAAAGAGAATAATTCTTGAATCAAAATCTGATGCCTGGACAATGGAAAGAAACATATTTTCTATAGTAAATGTTCAAAAACGTTTCCACCAACTTCCATACAATGATACAAACGAGCTTCCATTGCCGCCATCAAATGGTTGAGAATCTCTGGAGTTATTTTTTTGCAATGCCTCATGATATTCTCTCTTCAATCTTCTAATGTTGTTGATTCGATTTCATACACTTTAGACTTCAAATGACCCCATAGAAAGAAATCTACAGGAGTGAGATCCGAAGACTTTGGTGGCCATTCTGTAGCTGCCAATCCAGTTACCAGGAAAATGATCATCCAAAAATTGTCGCACTGGAGCTGCATAATAAGAAGGTGAACCATCCTGTTGAAAAACTATTTCATTTTCGAATAAATTCATATCTTCCTAACTTGCCTATTGATGCACGGTATTATTCAATTCTCCAACATATCCAAATATTTATCACTAGTCAAATTATCAGGGATGATAAAAGTTACTGCCCAAACAATCAGTTTTTGAGGTCATTGGGTATAAAGGAGGATATGTATCACTCCAATATCGACAATTTTACCGAATCTCCTCTCCATTCAAACTAAATGTACATTCATCCGAAAAACAAACTGTATACAAGAAATTCTGATGCAAGTTGACCCGTTCAGTGGGACTTTCACAAAACTCGATATGCCTATCGAAATCATCTTCGTTTAATTCATGATCTATCTAATCTTATATGGATGAAATTTGTAAATATGAAGGATCCATTTGTACGACTGATTCCTGATTTTCGAGATAACTTATTAAGAGATTGCGAATTTTCCATTAGTTCATCATGCTCTAAAACTGCAGTACAAATAGCTACATCGTTGACAACTTCTGAACGGTTATACTTTTCATTGTTAACAAATCTAGTTTCCATAAATTTGTTCAATAATTCCGAAACGTATTTGTGTTGTATATTTTATCCTGCATGATTCTCATCGAACATACGGGCAGCAGCTCCGGCAATATTTCCATTTTCGTAGTACAAACTCACAATTTCAATCCGTTCTTGAAGCGTATAAACCATTGCTTCTCAAGAATTCACAAAAACAGAAACACCAATTGTAGCTTCACATGGTAGGTAATGGTTATTGTAGAATGAGACAAATACAAAATGGAGAGAATATCGAATTCAAACTCAACTAGACAAAATAAGACTTGTTTAAATATACTTCACAAATATATGTAACAGATTGTACAGAAGTTCATTCAGGGTGGCTCGTTTTCAACTCAAGTAATTTTTAGCTCCCAAACTATGAGCTTCAGACCACAATGTATTCTACTTTGTTGAAATCTGTTCATTATGGAACATCTGATAATGCAAAACAATTGATCCATTAAAAAAAAACTGGTGACTTGCGCTAGGGGTGTGTGCGACAGGAAAAATTAGATCAAATATGAATATGGGAAAATGTGTCCCCCTGTATACTATTGTTGAGGTGTTTTTTCATTTCTCCTGAAAATTATTGTTCCAAAAGTTATTCAAGGTGGCTCGTTTTCAACTCCCGAACCATAATCTTCTGACCATATATTTTATAATATGCTGAAATCTGCCCATTGTTCCAAAGTGGCTCGTTTTCAACTCAAATAAATTGTAGATCCCGAACCATGAGCTTCAGACCATATGTTTTATATTATGCTGAAATCTGCCCACCATGGAGCGTCTGATAATGCGAAACAATAAAGGGTGATCCATAAAAAAAGGTGACATGCTTTGGGTGACATGAATATATCAAAATGTGTCCCCCTGTATACTAGGGTTGACGTGTTTATTTATTTTTCCTGCAAATCATTGTACCAAAAGTTATTTAGGGTGTCTCGTATCGAATGGAATGCACTGTATTATAAACCAACATTTTTAAAACATGGATTAATGAGGAGTGTTCTCAGAATGACTCATGTAGTTAGGGCCTATAAACTTGTTTGAATTGCTTTCAATAATCAAATTAATGAATAAATAAAATCGCCTTCTCAAATATTCACATGACATTTGAAAACACTTCATATTCATGGTGAAGTAGAAAACGAATTGAGTTCACTCCAATGATTTCAAAATAGTCTGTAGATTCTATTAAATCCAACAGCCAACTATGATGAAGAAAAAAAATAATCGAGAACTAAGGAATTTGATAAAAAGAGATCTTATTCTTACATTCATGTGAAACCCAAAGAAAGTGATACGTTTTTATATCTTCCATACATTTTATCGATGCATTTTCAATATTTAGAATTGACGTAAGAATATTTGAAATTTTTTCTTATGGTATTTACACCCAGTATTTTTCACCAAAAAATTCAACAAGGTAAGTAACACTTTTTTCTCAGGATGGAACTTGTTGCCTGGGTACTTATACTTGCGAGGCTCGTAATTGTATGGGCACGGTAGCTAGCTCTGCATCTCTACTCGGCTTTGAGGATCAAAAATCACGAGGACAACATTCAAGGCCAGAAATGGTCCGACAACCCTCTTTGTCAACCATTCACGAAGAGAGAACCTCTCAACTATATGACACAGCAGGTGACCAATCCATAACCATTGCTGATCACGGAGAACTCTCATTCTCATTTGATGGAAAAGAAGTATCTGTTTCTTTATATGAGACTCCAGATTTAACCGAAGAAGAAGCAATTCAAATTGTGGAAATGTACGCCGAACAACTTTCGGAGCATTTTTCGGGTAAACTAACGAAGTAATGATATGATCACTCGTGTAAGTTTGTTTTTCTAGGCCATAATGTCGTCGAACTTCCCCCTTTGAGATTTGTCAAAGAGTCTTCGACATCTGGTAATCTACTCATGGAAGCTGTGGTTGTCGATGTTTCAGACGATTACTTCCAGTCGGCTGAAGAGGATCTCAGAACAGAAGCTGACTTCGATGAAATTCTCTCCATAACGAACGAAGTATCAGTTACATCAGAAAAATTGAAAATTGAACTGACCTCTAGTGGAGAGGGACCTAAAAGGCCTCCTCGAAAGTCAGACTCTCAAAAAAGTAACAATTCGTACTACAGTTTATCCAAAAATCTGTCTCTAGACTCAGACAGAGGAGACGAGAGTTTGGCGGGGGCTGCCGATCTAGACACAGAATCCTACGAAGATTATGAGAGTGCGATAAGTTCAGGAAGGAACCAGTTAGAACAGGAGCGGGCATTTCAGGTGGCTGCTATCACGGAAACTACTAGTTTGCCTGGTGATGATGACAGACGTCCTTTAACACCGCATACCGCCCACGAAATCGGTTCTGACCTAAGAGTGAACAGGAGCGAAAGTCAAGAACCTTCACCAAGAAAGAGGAAATCTTCTCAAAGTTCTGACGAGATGTCAAAAGATGGATTCAAACGCGGTACCATCAAAAAAAGAGTCAGTTTAGATACACCTGATACATTCCAAAGAGATTTACAAGGGGAAGAAGGAGACGGATTAGTTATTGATCCAAAAGTATTAGTTGCAAAAGCACCACACGTACCAGTGAAAGTATTAGAAACTGTAAAAAACTTGAAGATGAACTTGGAAAATATTCTGGATGATTTGGTATTAGTGGAGAATCAATTAATATCAGAATCCACACAAAAGTCTACAACAGCTATTGCGAATACCAGCATGGAGGTCATTGAAAATATTCGACAACCTGTCAAGGATATCAAAACAGTTTTTGAAACATTGGAACAAAAAGTCACATCTCCTGACATATCAGTCGTAGAATTGGTGGCACCTCCTATATTCGAACTGCAGAAAAATTTGATCATTATAGAAAACTGCATAGCAGTAAGGGGAAGAGAGCACACATTAATACAAAAAACGTGTTCAAATATATTGAAAATGAGTGGTTTGAATATTCAAAAAAGTCTTTGTCTCATTGAAAAAATTGCTTTTTTGAAAGAGAATGTGGGTCATATGGAAACTTGTGGAAGAATGACGCCATCAAAATTGAATCAAGAAATGCGTATCACTGTCAAAGAAATTCATTCGAAACTGGATAAGTTACTGGCAAGTGAGGCAAGAAAATTATCGAATCGGTCGTTGTCGCTCTCATCCGACTGTTCATCCAAGAAAATATCGTCATTTGAAGAATCTGACATTTTAGAAAAGTTCATTGACACTGCTAGAGATATACAAATAGCTCTTTCCAGTCTTGAAGAAACGATTGCGTATGAAGATAGTGATCAGATGTATTCAAATTTGGTACAAAAGGTATTAGACAAACTTTTAGTCCCAGTGGAATTTCTTGTTAAAGAAATGAAAATAGTTCAGAAAGAAGCTGTTAGGTATTCTGGTGAAAAATCTTTAACACAAGAAATCAGACGAGCACTTCTTGATAGAATTAGAACTCCTGTTGATGAATTGTCGAAAGGATTGAATGTAATTAAAGTTCAAGATCCCAACGATAAGCACGCAGGTGTGGTTACCCTGAATGTTTTGGACTCTTTTGTCAATCCTACTCAAACGATACTAGCTTCATTAATCAAAATCAAACAACACACTCCTATCCTCAAAGACGATAGAGAATCTGTCGAAAAAACAGTCACAACAGATGAAGTTTTCTCAGAAGTTTTAGATAAGGTAACAGAGTTGGTATTCAACAACGTAACCCAAGCAGTAGAAGAGTTATCCCTCAATATTGAAACTACTCGAAAAGGTGTTACCGACGTAATTCTGTTGGAAGCACTTGGTCAACTTTCTATCCTCCAACAAGACCTTGCAACGACAGTTACAGAAGCCTCGCGTATGAGAACTGAAGGAACAGTTACCGCACTAGAGTGCTTGAATGAACCAATTCAACTTTTAAATAGCTTAGTAATGAGTATTACACCATCTTCAGGAAAGTATATTTTGGAAGATACTGTTAATCTTTTGAATATTCTTGAGGAATGTGTCATAGTTGACGATGAACAACTCAAGAGTATGGATTTGTGTATCTTATTTTCAGTGCTCAGAGGAAAGATATGTGAAGTCCGGGAAAACATTTGTAGTCTAATTGAACATGGAGTATCATTTGAATCAGTGACGAATGAGGCCATGGAAAGTGATAATGTTGTTGTGATACTGGAAGATTCCTCAAATACCGTTGTTCCCGATTCACTCCTAGAGGATACTGAATGTACTCTCAGGGTATTGAGTGAACAGTGCACAGAAAACATATCATCAGAATTAGATCCCTTCCTATCAGGAATACAAGATCTTCGAGTTGCGATTGAAGACGAATTAGTAAGAAAAGCCAAAACAGACCTTTCTCTTAGCGACCGGGTGTCATTGCAGAAGCACATAGTTCCTTTAGAGATGATTGAAGATCTTATCATCGCAGCTCTCGATTTTCTCGGTGCACAACGAAACATCGAACATCTCAACGAGATGTATCAGACGTTACAGCACTTGCAGTATAACGTAGCTGTGATGCATCAACATATATTAGATGAAACCCAACATTTAGAAACCATGATACGGTACGGACAACAGAACATCGAAGAGTTGAGAAATAGTATAACATCTGTGCAGAATTTGTCTGTTATGGCAGATTCTGCAGAAGCAGAATCTATCTCGAATGAAACATGTGAAATAATTACCGAAAATCTCAACGTACTGGAAAAAAATGTTGTCACATTTTATGAATTAGCTTTATCCGGGTCTCACGAAGAGATATCCCATGATTTATTGAGAATAACCACTCAAATTTTGAATTCCATTGGTGAAATTAAGAAGTCTTCACCAGTAGACTCTGAAAACTCTTTTATAACCAGTGAAAATGTAAAGGAAGTTCGAAACCTTAGCGATCCTTTGAGTCAGCTTCAAGCAGTTCTCATGGATGTCCAGAAAGATCAGGAATATCGAAAGAATATATTTTTGAACGTTAAAAATCCACTCATTCAAATTGCTGAATTATTAAATGTTATTCCAGATGACCTCAAGATAAAACTATTTACTCTGCACAGTCCACTCAGGAACGCAATAGAGATAGTATCACTGGAAATGTTCAATCATGACATCAAACAAAGTGACCTCAAAAATTTAGAAAATATAGGAGTTTTACTCAACGAGCTGAGATCAGCAATACCAACAATTAGTCACATATATGAATTTTCGAATATAGTAAACCAGCTCATGCCTTCAACTGAAAAATTATTGGAATACTTGAGAGAACTGAAAAATGAAAGGCTCAAACACATAACTTTGTCTCTTTTAGAATTTGTAAGCACTATATTAGAACTTCATATCTACATTGATGAAAACCAGTCTGCCTTGAAAATATACGAAAGTATCAACTTACCACGTTTAAGAGCTACTCTGGAAAAATTAACACCATTCTCAAAGAGACTGGTTTTGAAAAAGTTGATTTGTGAACTTCAGGGGGCCATTGAGGTTTCTGAAGTACTGTTTTCACGATCAACGGAAGAAGATGAGTACCTAATTTCCCAAACCGAAAAGTTGTTGGGGATATTCAACAACATAATAGAGAAACTGCTTGAAGGAAAGAGTTTGACAGACATAACAGTGGCAATAAAAGATTTTGATAATTCTTTAGGTTCTCTTGAGTCAACTTCAGAAATAACTATGCTGCTTCTAGAGACATTGCAAGGTGCAAGTTCTATATTGTCTGAGATATCCGAAGAAATTACGGAAAAAACTGTTTCAGTTGAATTACTGAATAATTTAGAGGAAGGTATCGTGCAACTGATAGAAATGAAAATAACGGATGAACATAACCCCATTATTATAGAATTGCAACGAGTTTGCGAAATTTTCAGACCGTCCTTTTCAATACTTCTCCAGGAGAATCCCCTGGACTTTCGTCAGTCTGAGATCATTCTAACATTACTCAGTCAAATTGTGGGAGTTATTTCAAAAGCAGAAGGTGAAGAGAAGCAACTGGTAGAACTGCAGAGTACTGTTGAACATTTGGGTAATATAATTGAAGATCTCCTTCCTTGCATGCAATCTAATTTTTCAGAGCCCCTTCAGAAAGTTAAAAAAGCCATCACATATTGCATAGACGAAAAATTCAAAATAGAGATCATTCAAGAGGTCAAAGAACTCAGATCGATTTTGAAAGATCTAAAACGAATTACTCTCGATTCGAATCAAGAACAGCTCATAGGAAACCTGTACACAAATTTCATAACAATTGAAAATCTCATAACAGAAATGAGTATCAGCAATGAAGCAGAAATGGAAAATATTCAAGAATTGTTAAATTTGATAGTGAAATGTGTATGTGGATTGGAAGAAAATAAAAAGCTTGTTCGTGAGAAGATTGATTGCTTAAGTGATTCCTTGAATTCATCAGATGTCATTGATAGAAACATTTTGGGACTCCTGCACAATTCTATAGGAACCTTAAGAAAATTGACAACTCTGAGGAATATTTATGGTCTTCAACAGTCTCTAGCTGCAATCGATTATGATTCAAATATTGTTACGAAATTACAAAGTGTGGCAACTGCTGTTGGACTTCTTATTCTCGAAATGGATGAAAACTCCTACCAGAACTTCAAACCCCTGGAAGATGCCTTGGGAGTCTTGAATGTAGCAATAAACAGAATGAATCCAGGAATGGTTGGAAGTTCAATGAAGGCATTGAAAGTCACTTTGGAAAATTTGTCAAAATCTATTCCAACCGTGGATGTATCTCAAGATGCAAGAACGATGGTACAAACTGCTATAAATTCTGCAATGGAAAGTATAGAACCATTGAAAAATCTGAAAATATTACAAACAATTATTGAATCCCTATCTGAAAACAGTGAACTGGAGTCGGTGAGAGAAGAGTTGAATAAATTCATAACAAATGTTTCTGAAATACATTACCACTTTGCAAACCCTTCAGAGATGAATCATTTGGATAATATCTTAGAGCTTTTATGTGCCGTTACTTCCCTCCCTATAATGAACAATGGAACAAACGAAACGGGTCCATCAATCGCCCTTGATGAGTTAATCAATTCAGTAAACTCATCAATGAATCTTCCATTTATGACGTCGCAAATAATTCAGCCATTACAAAAATCTATAGAATTTCTGAAGGATCTAATCTTAGGTAAGCCAGTTTGTTCCTCCGAAGAAAATAATAGAACACTTTCGAAGCAACTGGAAAGCTTAACTTCATTGGTGAATATAATCAGGCAAGAAGAATCTTGCGAAAATCAAATCTTAGTCACATCCATAAAGGACGTAGTTAATGCTATAAAATCCTCTGACTTTCACGATGATGCGGAAATTGGTACAGTTGTAGTATGCTTAGAAAACGTTATTAGATCCCTAATCGATAACACACAAAGAGAAAAGTCGCTAATTATAAAGATGAATATTGAAGAACTGAGGGCAAAAGCTTTTGAAAACACTCCAGAACTGAACAATCTCTTGGAAAAAGTGTACACGTCTACAACAAACCTTTTACAGCAGATAGCATTGAATAATTTTCAAAACTGTTTAGATTCCCTAAAAATTACTTGTGAATCGTATAAAGATCGGAATGATGACAAAATCATATTGATGAAGGCTTTACCGCAGGATATACTGGCCCTACAAACATGCATTGAACGAAATGAGGAAAATGATGTTGAGTATTTACACTCCGTTGGAGATATATTCTATAGAGTGGAAGATTTCATAAATCTGAAAAATTGGAAAAAGTGTACACGTCTACAACAAACCTTTTACATAAAGAAATCAGCAGAGAGGCATTGAATAATTTTCAAAGCTGTTTAGATTCCCTAAAAATGACTTGTGAATCGTATAAAGATCGGAATGATGACAAAATCATATTGATGAAGGCTTTACTGCAGGATATACTGGCTCTACAAACATGCATTGAACGAAGTGAGGAAAATGATGTTGAGTACTTACACTCCGTTGGAGATATATTCTATAGAGTGGAAGATTTCATAAATCTGAAAAGCAGTGACAATACTGATTCAATGATAAAATTACTAACTGAATTCCTAGATAAATATCAACCTGAGAATTTGACAGAATTGATGCGAACAACTCAGCTAGTAGTCAATACTACTTTACAGATCCTCAAAGAATTGAAGTGTGCCCGACAAAAAAATGAGAATATGAAATTGAAAGTTTTCGGAAGAGCTTGTGAATCATTGCAAAGCTTTGCCAAAAGTATTGCAAGTATCAAATCAAGAACTTTTGAACAAAAAATCGTGAATCTCCAAAAATGTTCCTATGCTTTACAAACAGCAATATACGATGCAATGGAAAAAACTCTAATTGAACCTGATGCAAAAATCGTAGAAGAGATGACCGATATTTTCAATGAAATCAATTCTTTTGTCAATTCCATGCTCACTGTTGAAGAAAACATGCAAATGTCTCAGAAGAAACCCACTTTCTTTGCAGAAAAACTGGCAGTGATCACACAACGATTTTCTGAGAGCAAATCTTTAAAAGACGTATCAAATAATCTAGCAGATTTTTCAGTTTCTTTGCCAGAAGTGATGGAAAAATTACAGACTGAATATGAAAAAGAATGGAAAAGAGAACAGGTGAAGCGTATTTTTGAAAGAGTATTGAAAAATGCTGATGAGACTCTAAACAAACCTACTGATACTGAACAATTGTTACGGATTTTGGGAGATTTTGATCGTAGCTTGGAAGAATACCAATCACATTGTTTGCGACTTTTGTCCATTGACGAGTCGATTTTCTTAGGGAAAATCAAATCACTTATCCAAGCAGTCGATGAAACTATGATGGTCAATTGTGATGAGTTGAAGACTATTTTGATGGAAAATAGCTCACCCTTTGGTGAAAGTATGAAAGAAATGATAAAACTCGTAGAGAAAATTCAAAAATCATTAAAAAATGAAGTTATACATTCCAATGAAATATTGATGGACTTTCGAAAAAATGAGCTCGAAACTATTCCTGATAAAACCGAGGATGGCAAGAAAATTACACCTTCATTACCAGAAAACGTTGAAGATAAAAACACAAATATTATGGAAAAGAGCTCTTTGGCAAGAGACGAGTTGTCAGCGGAAGTGGACAAAAAAACAAAATGTGAATTTGAGAACCCAGTGGAGGAAAAGTCCCATTCGATAAAAAGTTCTGAAGTAGAAGAAATGCCTGTTGTCGAAAAGCAGAACAAAGTTTCGGAAACAAGTAAAATTGCAGTCGATGGTGAAGAAGATGGTGAGCAAATGATGAATACAAAAGACGATACGAAGACTGAAGAAGATCAGAATACAATCAAGGAGATAATCGAAGTTAAAGAAGAAATGGAAGAAGAAAATCTTACGGTATTTGATGAAAAAAGTGGAGAACAACATAGTTTCCAAAGAGACAGTATTCGTTCTGAAAATGAAGAAAAGTTTCAGGAAAGAGTGGATCAAATAGATGAAACGAACAAAAAATCCCAATTGGAGAATGAAACAAAGTCTCCTGAAGAGATTGAAAGAGAAAAGGACGCAATCAACAAATTAGACGAAAATGCAATCGAAAAAGAAATAAGAGAAGATTTGAAGAAGGCAGTAGACACTTCCTTTGCCGAAATCGATGCACATATCAAAAATGACGAAAAAAATGAAGTCAAAAATGAAAACCTAAAAAAATATGAGACTGAAAAAAACAAGGAGCCTTTCAATATCAGTGGAGATGATTTGATTCCAGTTGAAGTAAAAAATCAATTTATGGAAAATACTGATAGACATGAAGTTGAGAATATAGAAAAAAAATCAGATGGTGGTATTGAAATTGCGAATGACTCCATGATACGGTCAGTAACAAAAATTGATATTCCAGAAACACCGATTGTGGAAAAAATCTCGCCAGATTCCACGATAGTAAAATTTGATGGAGAAGATTATGATACTTCAGTGACAAAAAATGGCGACCAAGTCAGGGATTCATGCATCCGAGAGGTGGTATCTATTGCAGATAGTAATGTTAAAGAAATCAGAAATGAACTAAAAGAAAATGAAACGAACGTTAGTTTGGTAGATTCAGCAGTTGATTTGAAAGATATCACAGTGGAATTTACAGCGGAAGATGGAGATCAATTAGAAATACCTACGCAATTTCCGGCTAACAGAACTGAAGTTGAAGAAGCAAAGAAGGAAATATCGTATGTTGAGAGCGATGGCGTAGATGAGACCACTGATAAGTTGAATGAAAACAAAAAAGACCTTCAGATATCAAAACCCGTGGAAGAGAAACACTTGATATTTGATAGTGTTGATCTTCTGGATGAAATAACGAATGTTGAAGATGATAATACAAAAACATTATTAGAAGACTCCAAAGTTGAATCATCGGCAGACAAAACCACGTCGGAACACGTTAAAGAAAATCTGAGTCAAACAGATCAAACTATAGATTTGCAAATCAATGAACCAATTATTCCAAAACAAATTGTGAGCAAAGGAGGAGAAAATGTTGAACTAGCACTAGGTGGCGAAGCTATCTCAGAGCAAAACAAAACATTAATTCCTGAAGAACAAACAATGTCTCTTCAGGACAAGAAGGAAATGAAAAACCACATAGAAATGACAGAACATGACATGGAAAATGAAATTATTGATGAGCATATTGATACAGCTGAAAAAAGTGAAATCGTTGTGGATGTTGAAAAAACAATATTACATATCGAACCAGTTTCGGAGTCTTTGACTCGTCTACATGATTCTCTAAGTGAAATGGAGTCTCGTACATTGCCAAAGCCAAAAAAGCAGGCTCTTAAAGATCTCGTGAAATCAATCGAAGGCATTGAAAAAAATATACAAAAATTGGATATGTCAAATGTTACACAAGAGGAACTTTCAGCTCTCTCAGAAGTCAATAATACTTTGAATATTTTGAATAATTACATTTTGTGTGCTCAACAACAAAGTGAAATGGTTATGCCAACTCATATGAGTGCTGAAAATGTTAAAGCAGCAATAGAGGTTTTGAGGTTATCTGTGGTGATAGTTCCAAAACAAACGAAAATGAAAGAGTTTTTAGAAAAAATAGAGGAAATTGTGAAAAATGTCATAAATCTTGTGGAGGATATTCCTTTGATGGATAGTAAGAGGTTTGATTTGAAGCGTTCTATTGTTAATTTGAAAGAGATAACAAAAAGGTTGAAAGTAGTTTCTGAAGAAGAAAAGTTAACATTGTCTCAACTCGAAGTCTCTATTTTTTCTGCCGAAACGTTAGTGGACGATATAATGATAGAGAATGAAGTGGAAATGAAAATTATCGAAAATTTCAACTGTTATATCATTGAACTTAGTAATATACTCCAAGCAACGATAACAGTATCAATGAATATCAACGATAACCTCCTCGAAGAAATTAGAAAAATAGTCGACAGTTTCACCAAAAGTCTGGAAAAGTTGCCTAAGAATTCGCCTATGCTTGCTCTAGGAGAACAAATGAAAATTATAGGAGAAGAAATCCTAAATCTGTTATCACCTCAGAAGTTATCATTCCATGAACCACTAATAAGTTTGCAAAATTCTTTGCAAAATATACAAGATTGTATCAATTCGTTTGAATCAACTGGTGGAGAAAGTACTAGGAAAATAACTACCTCTGAGCTGAGGAGGCCTCTAACAGCTTTACAATTCATTTCTGTTATGATTATGGAGGACAAAAAAATAAAATTATCTGCAGTTGAAGATAATCTAATAGAGATGATCAACGATTCTATCATAGAACTCAACTCTTTGGTCGAAATTATGAACTGTGTTACTACTTCTGGGCAATCAGGCAAATTCGAGGCTTTTTTGGAAAAACTTTCAGTACTACTTGACAGTATAAATCAAGAGTCTATTTTGAAAGATTTTTCAAATCCTCTTCACGAAATCGTAGGTATTGTTCAAAATATGAAATCTGAAATTATAACAACCAAACTGATAGAAATTACCCAAGTCTTAGAAGAATGTGTGACATCATTAACGCAGTCTAGTGATGGAACAATAGTGGAGAATCAAGAAATCATCGATAAACTGATATACAAACCTTTAGAAGTTATCATAGAATTATTGAAAGCGCCAGAAACTCCAATAACTGTTGACGAATTGAGAGACGTAGACAATATTGCATATTCATTATCTCAACTGATAAAAAAATCCGAAGATTTTTCTGAAAATTTACAAGCATTTAAAGAAAAAATATCTGATTTCACAGCAAAAAATGTAGCTACTCAAATACCTTCAGTTATGGAACAACTGGGACATTTATCAAATAATGTGGATACACTATATTTGCTTCCTTTAGAAACAAATTTCGGTTTCAATCCGCTGCTACAAAGTTTCAACAATAATCTTTTAGAATTGCTTCAGTTTGCGATCAAGTTCAGAGATGTTCCCTATAATGATATAAGTTTAATTTCCCATCTCATTCATCCAGTGGAAGAGTTGAAGATTCAGGTAAATAAGTGTAAGAATCTTGAGATACCTGAAATCGAAAAAAATCTTCTTCACCAAATCTCAAGCTCATTCTCACAAGTTTGTAGGATTTCTAGTGGGGTAGAAGCAAATCAGAATTTTTTAAATGAATTAGATGCCTTGCAAAATAAACTGGTCAGTGCTTGTATGAGAGCCGTTCTAATAAAAAATCCCGATCAGAAAGACTCGATCTTGCAAACCCTTATATATCCCTTGGAAAGCGTTTGCAAGGCTATCATAAAAATTCAAAATGAAATATCAACCAAGAAATCCTTCACATATTTGAGAAAAGGTATTTCCAACGATTGTGGGTATTTGATTCAATGTTTAGATGAGATTAATGGAGAAGATGTTAGAAAACATTTAATTGAACCTTTGCAATCAATTATTGATGTGATGAATGAAGAATCTATCATAACTTTGTCGTCCTTATCACAGAAAATGCAAACTCCTGTGGATAATTTGAACAAGTCTTTAATATTGATGGCGGAAGATGAGAAACAAAAACATTCTCTTGAAGACATAAGAAAATCATGCGAAAAATTACTACATACTCCGGAAGATCAATTGAACCTCTATATTCTTCGAGAATTCAGTTCGCACTTACAAAAAATGATGGCTTCATTCAAAGAAAAGTCAGAACTGTCAGATACTAGTGATATACGACTTTCAGAACAACCCACAACGCAAATTAAATCAGAAATAATTACTCTACAGAATATGATTTTGGAAACTAATGCAACTCCCAGTGAAGCTTTGATTTTCGCTCTAGAATTGTATGAATTAATCGATTGTATTCAGGAAGTTATGACCTTTGAAGTTCCGCAACTATTGACTCCGAAATCTAGAGAGTGCTCAGGATACATGCAGAGGTGTTTCAAGAATTTGAGTATAGTAATTGTTCACTTGACAACAACACTGCAGAAGCCAGTTTTGGAAGAGATACAGCAGAAGGCGTTGAAAGAAGCCAAAGAATATGTAAAACAAGCAATTGAAGTTATAGAATTACCACGCTCCTCAAAAGTTAGTGAAGCAATTGTAAAACCACTGGAGCAACTGTCTAATGTGATATCTAACATGCAATATCACTTATTAGATTCAAAAAATATTTCGACAATATTTTCGGAAAATTTTCAGGTAATTGGAGATCTAGAAAAAGAAATAAATCTAGAAATCAGTGGAGACAATAATGATGATCATGTTGAAATTGTTCATTCATTAAGGGAACCTATTCACTTCCTCCTTGACAGCGTGAACCAGATGATGAAGCTTCGAATCAATAATGAAGATATACCTGCTGAGTATCTTGAGGAGTTGAGACAACAGAACGAACTGTTCAGTAATTTGACTCAAATTTTGTCGAATATCAGATGTGTGTCGGATGAAAATGTACAGAAGATGAAAATTAATTTAAAAGATGTGTTAATATCTATACATGACAATTCAAAATCAATAGTAGATACGTCCAAAAATAATATTTTACTACAATGCTTGTGTGAACCATATAAACTTTTGGTTTCATCAATAACATCACTTATCGAACCATTATTGAACCTAGAAGAAAAGTCACACGTAGATAATAAAAGTATATTGGAAGTTTCAAACATGAAGTCAAATATTGCATTTCTAAAAACGATTTTGAGAACCCTCCAAAATTTAGAGATGAATCTGAAATCACTTGAAGCAGAGGAAAAGTCGCCATCATCCCTCCCTCAACATAAAATACTCTTCGAGTCCTTGGATACAATTTCAACACTGACAAATTTGCTCGAAGATATAAAAAATTCTCCAGACGAAAATGTCCACAAAGTATCTGAATCACTGGAAGCTTTAACTCTTCTGAATGCACCTTTGGAACATATTTCCAGAGAAATTATTGAATACATGACAACGAAAAAAAATAAAGATGAAAAACCACAACGCATGGAAATAATAGACAGTATGATGAAGGAACTACAACGAAAAATTGAGGATGTTGTCAAAAAGTTGTCAGAAAGAGGTGAGTTTGAGGTAATTCGTGGTGTTTTGATATCACTTTCAAATAAACTGGAAAACATAGAAAATATTCCGTCTAGCAACTGTGACACAATAACAAAACCATGTCTGGAACCAACGTCGGTGGAGCATGCATTGATGAAGAATTTTGCTGAACCAGTTATAGTGTTGTGCGAGGAAATAAAAGCATTGGAGTTCGAAATGAAAGACCTACATATTGAACGAAAACAGGGAATCAGCTCACTTGTGGAAATATCTAATGAGTTGAGTGAAGTATCGATTGCAATTCAAGATATGGAATATGGAATTACAGAAACTTTAGAAACACAACTAGAAAATTTAACAACACTCAAGGAGTCTTTACAGAAATTATCTGCAATCGTAGTTGATGAACGTAAATCCCTAAAATCACCGGAAGTATCCCAAATGAGGTCATCGCCAAATCGTAATGCAATATCGTCATTGAGAGTTGAGATCACTAGACTTTTAGAAGAAATACCGGAAACGAAAACATTGAAGATTTTGAAGGTTCCACTCAAAGCACTAGTTGGCAAACTGGTGACCATTCAAAGTGCCATGGATGCTGTAAGTGACAAGGAAGCACAAATAAAAGAAGTTTTTGATGGAAATATTGTTCAACCAGTTCATGTTTCCAGTGAGAATATCGAAGCTCTGGGAAGTGAGATGGACCCTCTTGTAAGTCAGCAGGATGTTTGCTCATCAGTAAAAATATCCAACCAGTTGGATGAAGTAGTAGCTCCCATACAAAATATAAAATCTACTTCTCCAGACTTCTTCCAGACTACTGGAAAAATTCCAGAGACACAACTGGAAAACTTAACGCCACTCAACGACACTATGGAAAAATCATCTGCAGTTGCAGATGATGAAACCAAATCTGTCAATGAATCAGAAGTGTTCCCACTGAATTTGTCTTCTGTCCAGAATGCTTCATTGTCACTGGAGGAAGAGATAACTAGACTGATACAAACACCACCGGAAGAGGAGACATTGAAGATCCAAGAGATTCCACTCGAAACTCTATTCGGTAAATTGGAGAATGTAGAGAGTGTTGTCATGGATGGAGTTGGTGAAAAGAAAGCGCAAGTTCTTGATGAAAATCTTGCTGAACCAGTTCACGATTTGAGTGAGCAAATCAAAAAACTTAAGTTTGAAATGGAAGATGAAATGGAAGATATACCTTTCGAAAAACAACAAGGTGTTCAGGCACTCGTGGAAATATATGATCAATTGAATGAAATAGCAGCTGCCATCACGGAAATAGAAGCTAATCCTACCGTAGTAACTGAAGACATTTCAGAAACTCAATTGAATAATTTAACAACGCTCAAAGAGTCTATGGTGAAATTGTTTTCGATTGTTGTTGATGAAAGCAAATCCCTCAAGAAATCAGAATTACTTCAGATAAATTTGCCTTCAATTCAGAAGGCCATATCGTCAGTTAAAACCGAAATCACTAGACTAAAAACAATACCAGAAACAAAAACATTGAAGATCCTGAAAATTCCACTCGAAGCTCTATTCGCTAATATGGAGGGTATAGAAAGAGCTATGGATAAAGTTGATGTAAAGAAAACGCAAGCGGACAAGATTATTGGTGAAAATATTACTGAACCAGTGGAAGATTTGAGTGAACAAATCGAAGCACTGAAGTTTGAAATTGAAAAACGGCAGGGCGATTACTCGCTTCTGAATATATCTGATCAATTGAATGAAGCAACGGCTGCCATTATTGACATGATGGCTTATCCAACAGAAACTACTGAAGACATTTCAGAAACACAACTGCAAAATTTGACAATGCTTAAGGAATCTATAGTAAAATTATCTTCAATTATTGTTAATGAACGCAAACCTCTCAAGAAACCAGTAGTACTCCAAATGAATTTGCCTTCAGTTCAAAACGCCATATCGTCAGTTAAAACAAAAATCACTAGACTTGTAGGAACACTACCAGAAACAAAAAAAATACAGTTCAGAAGGCCATATCGTCGGTTAAAAGCGAAATCACAAGACTTGTAGAAACACTACCAGAAACAAAAAAATTGAAGATTCTTGAGATTCAACTCAGCTCTCTATTTGGTACATTGGAAAATATTGATAGTGCCATTGGTGAAGTTGATGAGATACAAAAGCAGGTGGACGAAGTCATTGATGAACCAGTTCACGATTTGAGTGAGCAAATCAATGAACTGAAATTTGAAATGAAAGATGAACCTCTTGAAAAACAACATGGTATTCAGTCACTTGTAGATATGTCTAATCAACTTAATGAAGTAGCAGCTACCTTCACAGAAATGGATGCTGGTCCAAGAGAAGTTACTGAAGACATTTCAGAAACTCAACTGAAAAATCTTACAACCCTCAAAGAATCTGTGGTGAAATTATCTTCAATTGTTGTCAATGAGAGCAAGTCCCATAAGAAACCAGAAGTACTTCAAATTGATTTGCCTTCAGTTCAGAAGGCCATATCATCAGTTAAAACTGAAATGACGAGACTTGTAGGAACGCTACCAGAAACGAAAAAATTAAAGATTCTGGAGATTCAACTCAAAACTCTATTCGGTAAATTGGAAAATATTGAGAATGACATTGGACAGGTTGATAAAAACAAAACGCAGGTGGACAAAGTTACTGTTGAAAATTATCCTGAACCAGTTCATAATTTGAGTGAGCAAATCAAAGAACTCAAATGTGAAATGAAAGATGTACCTCTTGAAAAACAACACAGTGTACAGTCACTTGTAGATATATCTGATCAACTTAATGAAGTAGCAGCTGCCATTCCAGAAATGGAAGGTGGTCCAATAGAAGTTACTGAAGATATTACAGAAACTGAACTGAAAAATTCAACAAACCTCGAAGAATCTAAAGTAAAATTATCTTCGATTGTTGTCAAAGAAAGCAAATCACACAAGAAATCAGAAGTACTTCAAATTGATTTGCCTTCAGTTCAGAAGGCTACATCATCAGTCAAAACCGAAATCACAAGACTTGTAGGAACACTACCTGAAACAAAAACATCGAAGCTCTTGGAGATTCCACTCAGAGCTCAAGTTGGTGAATTGGAGAATACTGAGAGTGCCATGGATGAAGTCGATGAGAAGAAATCACTAGTAAACAAATTAATCGATGAATATCTTGCTGAACCTGTTCACGATTTGAGTGAGCAAATCAAAGCACTAAAGATTGAAATGAAAGATATACCTCTAGAAAAACAACAGGGTGTTTACTCACTTGTAGATATATCTGATCAGTTAAATGAAATATCAGCTACCATCACGGAAATAAAAGCTAATCCGACAGTAGTAACTGAAGACATTTCAGAAACTCAACTGAAAAGTTTAACAATGCTCAAGGAGTGTATGATGAAATTATCTTCAATTGTTGTTGATGAACGTAAGTCCCTCAAAAAGACAGAAGTACATCAACTGACTCTGTCTTCAAAGCAGAAGGCGATATCGTCAATCAAAACTGAAATCAATAGTCTCGTAGAAACACTACCAGGAACAAAGACATTAAAGATTCTGGAAATTCCATTCAAAGCTCTAGTTGGTAAATTGGAGACAATGGAAAATGATATAGATGATATTAGTGAGAAAGAAACCAAAGTGAATGAAATTCTTGATGAAAATCTTGCTAAACCAGTTCACTCTCTGATTGAGAATATCAAAATACTGAAAGATGATATGAAAGACATACCTATTGAACGACAAGCGGATGTTTGCTCACTTGTGAAAATATGTGATCAACTGAACGAAGTAGAAGTTGCCCTTGAGAATATGAAGTCAGCTCCTTCAGAAACTACTGGAAAGCTTTCGGAACCACAAATGAATAACTTGATAACGATCAAGAAGTCTATAGAAAAACTATCTGATATTGCTGTTGATGTACGCCAATCCCTGCAGAAAATAGAAGTGTATGAACCGAACTTGCCTTCTGTTCAGAATGCCGTATCGTCGGTGAAAGAAGAAATCATTAAAATGGTACAGATACTATCAAAAACTGAAACATTAAATATCGTCGAAGTTCCATTTAAAGCATTGCTCGATAGATTGCAGACTATCGAAAGTGAAATGGATGATGTGAATGAAAAAAAAACTAGAGTCAATGAACTTCTCGATAAGTATATTGTGGAGCCAGTTCACGTCTTGTATCAGGAAATCACAGCACTGAAGGTAGAAATAAACGATTTACCTCTTGAAAGACAACAGGGTTTCTGCTCATTCCTTGAAATATATGATCATTTGAATGAAGTAGAAGCTGCCATTTTAGATATCAAAGCTGCTCCGACAGAAACTACTGAAACAATTTCTGAAACACCTTTGAGAAATTTGACATCATTCAAGGAATCGATAGAGAAGCTATCTGCAATTATAGTTGATGAACGCAAATCACTCAAGACACCAGAACTAAGACAACTAAACTTGCCTTCTGTTAAAAATTCCATATCATCAGTAAAACAAGAAATCAGCAGACTAATAGGAACTCTACCAGAAACGAAGACATCAAAAGTTCTAGCAGATTCATTCAAAGCACTAGTTGGTCAACTACAGACTATTGAAAGTACCATAGAAACGAAAGTGCATGTAGATAAACTTCTTGATTTGAATCTTCTGCAACCAGTTCATCTTTTGAGTGAGGAAATAAAAATGTTGAGGTTTGAAAGGGAAGATTTACATCTTGAAAGACAGCAGGGTGTTTATTTGCTACTAGACATATCTGATCAGTTGAATGATGTAGAAGCTGCTATTATAGATATTGGAGCGGCTCCAATAGTAACTATTGAAATGATTCCAGAAGCACATCTAGGGAATTTGATAACAGTAAAAGAATCTATGGAGAAATTATCTGCAATCATAGTTGATGAACGCAAATCCCTAAAGAAACCAGAAAAGTCCCAACTGAAGTCGCTTTCCGTTCAGAGTGCCATATTTTCATTGAAGGAAGATATCACCACATTTATAAAAACACTACCAGAAACGAAAACATTGAAGGTTCTGGAGGTTCCATTCAAAGCCCTAGTTGGTAAATTGCAGACAATTGAAAATACCATATGTCATGTAAATGAAAAGAGAGCACATGTAGAAAAAATTCTCGATGAAAATCTTGTAGAGCCAATTCTCGTTTTGAGAGAGGAAATCGAAGCATTGAAGATTGAGATGAAAGATTTACCTCTTGAAAGACAGAAAGGTGCTAGTTTGCTTGTAGAAATATCTGATCAATTGAATGAAGTAGCAGCTGTCATTGTAGATATGGAAGCTATTCCAACAAGTACTGAGGAAGACATTTCAGAAACACAACTGAAGAATTTAACAACGTTAAATAAATGTATAGGAAAATTATTGGAAATTTCAGTTGATGAACGCAAATACCTCGAAAAACCAGAACTGTCTGAATTAAACTTGCCTTCTGTTGAGAAAGCCGTATTTGCAGTGAAAGAAGAGATCACTAGGCTAATTAAAACACCACCAGAAACAGGAATATTGAATATCCTGGAGGTTCCATTCAAAGCACTACTTGGTAAACTGCAGAACATTGAAAGTGTTCTTGATGATATAAGTGAGAAGAAAGATTGTGTAAATGAACCTTTCGATGAAAATCTTGTGAAATCAGTTCACGTTTCGAATGGGGAAATAGCAAAAATTGAAATGTACGATTCAACTCTTGATAGAAAACAGGGTATCTGCCCAAATATAGAAATATCTGCTCAATTGAAAGAAGTAGCTTCTGCCATCGTTGAAATGGAAAATATTACGACAGAAACTACTGAAGACATTTCAGAAACTCAACTGAAAGATTCAACATCCGTTAGGGAGTCAATGGAAAAATTATCTGCAATTGTAGTTGATGAACGCAAATCCATCGAAAAACCAGAAATGTCCCAACTGAGCTTGCCTTCTATTCAGAATGCTATATTATCAGTGAAAGGAGAGGTCACTAAACTGACGCAAACACTACCAGAAGCAAAGAAATTAAAGGTCCTTGAGGTTCCATTCAAGGCAATGATTGGTAAATTGGAGGCTATTGGGAGTTCCATGGATAAGGTTACTGGAGAAAAAGCGCGAGTGTACAGAATTGTGGAAGAGAATTTTGTTGAACCAGTTCACGTTTTGACTGAGGAAATCAAAACATTGGAAATTGAAATGAAAGGTCTACCTTTCGAACTACAACAGACTGTTTGTTCACTTGTAGCAATATCTGATCATTTGAATGAAGTATCAGTTGCGATTCAGGGAATGAAATCTATTCCGCTAGAAAATGACATTCCAGAACCACATTTGAAAAATTTAGTGTCACTCAAAGAGTCTCTGGAAAAATTAACTATTTCAGTAGATGATGAACGCAAATACCTCAAGAAACTAGAAGTATCACAATTCAATTCTGCTTCAGTTCAGAAGGCCATATCATCAGTGAATGAAGAGATCACTAGACTGATACCAAAACTACCTGAAACGAAAACATTAGAGTTTCTGGAAGTTCCATTCAAAGCACTTGTTGGTAAATTGAAGACTATTGAAATTGCCATGAATGATGAAAGTGAAAAGAAAGCCCGGTTGGATAATATTCTTATTGAAAATCTCATCAAACCGACTGAAGTTTTGAGTGGTGAATTCAAAGCACTGAAATTTGAAATGAAAGATTCACCTCTTGAAAAACAACAGGGTGTTTGTTCACTTCTACAAATATCTGATTCATTCAATGAAGTATCTGCTGTCATTCTTGATATCAAAACTATTCTGACAGAAACAGTTGAAGGAATTTCAGAAACGCAACTGGAAAATTTAACAACTCTCAAGGAGTCTATGCAAAAATTATCTGCAATTGTGAATGATGAACGGAAATGCCTCAAGAAACCAGAAGTTTCTCAACTGAACTTGCCTCCTGTTCGGAAAGCCATATCTTCAGTAAAAGAAGCCATCGATAGACTGATACAAACATTACCGGAAACTGAAAAATTAAAGGTCCTGGAGTTTCCGTTCAAGGCACAAGTTGATGAACCGGAAACTTCAGGAAGCGCCAAGTATGATGCGAGTGAAAAGAATGCGCGAGTAGAAAGATTTCTTACTGAAAATCTTATTGAGCCTGTTCACGTTTTGAGTGAGGAAATCAAAACACTGAATGTTGAAATGAAAGATTCACTCCTTGAAAGAAAACAAGGTGTTTACTCACTTCTAGAAATATCTGATCAATTGAATGCATTTTCGACCGCCTTCACAAAAATGAAAGCTACTTCAACAGAAATTGCTGAAGATATTTCAGAAACACGATTGGAGAATTTAACGACACTCAAAGAGTCTTTGGAAAAAATTACTGCAATTATAGTTGATGAACAAATATCGCTCAAGAAACCGGAAATGTTGAAACTGAACTTGCCATCTGTTCAGAATGCCATATCATCAGTAAAACATGAGATGACTGCACTCATAGAAACACTATCAGAAACGAAAATATTGAAGCTAATAGAGGCACCACTTAAAGCTTTACTTGACAAATTGGAGTATATTGGGCAATCTATGAATGAATTCATTATAGGTGAAATAAAATTGGATGATATTTCCAGTGAGAACATTACTAATTCAGATCCTATTTTAAATGAGAAGAATAATTCTCTGGAAATGGCAGGTCTATCTTCAGAATCACAACAAAATGCTGCTAATACAAGAGAGTTAGCATCTAGAAGGGACAAGGCAATATTGGAGGAAATCTCTCCACCTTTTGAGAACCTCAAGAAACAAATTGAGTGTTTGAATATCGATGAAAATCTTTTCCCACCTCATTTTCTTAGTGTACTAAATTCCATGATTACATCTTTATCAACATTATCATCCTCCATAAAAAATCTCCAAGGAGCTACTAATGAGAATCTAACTGATTTATCGATTGAACAGTTTCATGAAATGGAGTCTTTGAAAGATTCTGTAGCTCAACTTCATGAAGTAATTTCTTCAATTGGTCATATGACGAAAAACCGAAGTGTTATTGAACAAACTTTACCACAGTTATCAGATGCACTTATATCTCTGAAGGAAAATGTATCTGTCACAGTACAAATCCTAGCAGAATCGGAAAGTCTAGCGATACTCCATTCTCCATTTTTTCATCTTCTGAAAATATTGGAAATTGTAGAACAAAAAGAAATAGAAGGCAAAGAGAGTGAATTTGTGCACGATATTACTTTTTCTGAAAGTGGTCCTGTGGATTTTCAAATCCTTTTTGAATGCTTAAACAAATCCATCCAAGCCTTTTATTCACTGAAATCTAAAGTACAACAAGTATCCTTTTCGTTGGAACCCTGTATACTCCCTATTATAGATTTGACTGATTCCCTTGAAACACTCTCTATTTGTATTCAACAAAACCTGAATGTGGAAAAATCAGTCCCAGTTCCGCCTTCTGAAAATGTTATTGGTTTGAAAGCCCCTCTGGAAAAACTATTGCAGATTGCAAACAACATTGAAGAAACATTAGAAACACATGAAATGCCGGAGAAACTCTTACCACAGATCAAATTGACTTTGCCGACAGTGAAACAAGAAATAATAACATATATTTCTGAAGTATTACCAAAAGCGAAGTGTATTCAAGTACTTCAAAAACCTCTTGAAATTCTGATTAATAAATTAGAAACTATCGAATACTCTATTGATCACACTACCAAGCATGAACCCAGGCGTACTAAATTATTAATTGAAGAAATTGGAAAGCCTGTTAATCAGTTACTGAAAGAAGTTCAGCAGCTGAAAACCAAAGCACGAAAACTCACCACACCATCACATCAAGACATAATATGTATAGCTGATGTCAGTGATTCTCTAGTAACATTATCAATGTCGATACAAAATATAGAAAATATATCTGAGAGCAGTGTTCAAGATATTTCCCCAGAACAATTCAAAACTCTAGTTGCTCTGAGAAAACCTCTGGAACAACTTACTGCAAATATTAGCCATATCAGAAGAGTAATGAACAAACCTGAGTTGATTGAAAAACGATGCTCTGATATGCGATCTACAATTCCAGCAGTTGAAGAGGCAGTGATTCATGTCAAGGCGTTACTACCAAATATAAGAAGTTTGGAATATATTCAGGTACCCCTTGATTCTTTCCTCAGTAAATTGAAGAATATTACCAGAAATCAAGATAAGAAAGGAAAAGAGTTGATCAAAAATATAGCTTCTTCAACTTCTAATCTCATTGATGAAATAAAATTACTGAAAACAGAACCAATGAAAAACTCTCCACTTATTTCAATCGTCAAAGCTGAAGAGGTATTCTCTACTTTATTGATTGCTCTGCAAAAATCACATAAAATTCTTGATGATTCTGTTGAAGATATATCAAACACCCAATTTCAAAACTTAACTACATTGATAACTCCTATGGAGAAATTAGTAACTATCATAAGTGGTCACAGAAATACGTTGAGTAAACCTGAAAACTCAAAAGAACTCATCCTTGAATTAAATAACGCAATATCCGCACTAAAAGAAAGTACCAATGTCACTATTGATGCTTTGACAAATTCCTCAATATCGAAGGTGATCAGGGTTCCTCTTGAAGACATAAAAAGTAAACTTGAGAATGTCGAGGTTAATTTAACATCAATGATAGAAATGAAACCTTTTCTAGAAGAAATGGATAGGATACTGCAGAGGATGAAAGAACTCTTTCGAGTTTTGCGAACAGGAGCACATAAATATTCACTGTTCCCAGAAGAAGGATTACTATCTATTTCTGAGGTAGAAGAAGCGTTATCAACCCTTTCCTATTCGTTCCAAAGGATGAACCAATATTCACTAGAAAATGTAGAGGACATATCTGTGGAACAATTGAAAAATCTGAAAGAGGTACCATTGTATATGGAAAAATCAACGTCGATAATCGCCAAAACTAATGATAAACTCGAAACACCTGAAGATTTCAATTTACTTCTGCCAGAAATTATAGAATCTCTGTCAATCCTAAAAAAACATATCACAGATACCGTAATAAAAACATCGAGTGGAACAAAAAGTCTTGGAGTATTAGGCATTTCATTCACCACTTTGTGTCAAAAACTAGATTTATTTGAAGGAATGATGAATAGAATTCTAACATCGCGATCTAGGGATGATGTTGAAGTATTGAAAAATATTTTAGATCTGATTGATCAGTTGTCGAAAGAAGCGGATCGTTTAGAGTCCCAAAAACTGGACACATTACCAGCCGATATACAAGCATTAATAGAAATTGCTAAATCTTTGACAGGATTCGCAAGAGCAGATTTTGATTCCAATATTGACCTTTGTAGTGATTTCACTCCTGAACAGCTTCGTACGCTTTTTGATTTGAAAGACACAATATCACAGCTGTTCGATTGTATAGTAACCCATGAAAAAACTGGAATGGAAGTTAGCGAATCAAAAAAGTTGTTATTAACTTTGCCAAATTTTTTGATGGCATTGAAACATTATTCTCAACGAATCATTCAAATGATTCCAGAAAAAAAGTCTCTAGAAATTCTCAGATTTCCACTGGAGAACTCTATTACTTCAATTGACAGAAAAGTAGAAACTATAAAAATGAATGAAAAGTTGATAGCCAGTGTAACCAAACTAGAAAAATCACTGAAGACTATAATTGCAAATTTAAAATCTCTTGAAGAGTCTGCCAAAAAAGTTGCTTCTTCTATGAAACCAATTTATCTCGATTTTGTCAAAATGAAAAAAACATTATCATCAATACTTGAGGAGAATTTGAACGAAAAAACTGGGGTTATTGACATAAATTTGATTGATAGTTTCGAATCACTTGTGATAGCAATGAATGATTTGAACATAATTATTGAGAAGTTCAAGAAGTATTCAAGTGATTTCAAAACAGCGGATATCAACAAAAGAATTATGACGAACATCAAAATAATTGAAGATGCATTCAGCCAATTCAATAAAATACCGCTATCACTGACGCTTTCATCGTCTCTGAAGGAAATATTAGTGACAATGCATAGTTTATCCTCAGATTTAATCACGTTAGAAGACTACACCTCCCACATTAATAAAATAAAAGTGCCTTTCTGTTTACTTTTTGAATATTCAAGAACCGCTTTGAACCAACAGATATTGACGAACACAGACTTTAAAGAATTCTGCTCTATTTATGAACCTGTAAATGAAATTATCATCATCTTGAACAATGGAGAAATGCACTTCGATACTGTACTTTCACTAGAGAGAATTGTAGAACCAATTTCCGGCATTCTGAATATTTTCAAATCACCTAACGTTGCCATTATAACTGAGCTCCAGATAACGGATAAACTATTTCTGGAGAATAAACTGTCAGAATTAAAAGAAATTTTACAGGTTTTGAAGGATCAAAACTGCAACTCGGATGATGATATTTATTTGCAAAAGCACTTGGAGACTCTTTTCCAGAAAACTCATAAGTATTTGACTCAGCTCCAGATGAAGGCGAAGGAAAGGGAAGATTCAGAAATACTCAAACAACTGCGGTCGCCTGTTAAACAATTATTTGAAGAACTGAAAGGAATGAATAGTCAAAATTTGGATGCTGCTAATATTCAAGAACTACTTTCTTTGAAACCTGCCATCTCAAAATTAGAGGAAGGCTTGACTGCAATCGAGAAATCAAATATTTCTGAAACACCAATAATCGAGAGCAACCTGTTAAAAGAACTTGAAAAATCGGTACCATGTTTTGAAGAAATGCTGATTGAGTTCGTAAAAATTAATTCCCTAGTAGGAAAGTCTCAAATTTCCATTGAACAATACAGCATGTTACAAAAACAATTATTAAAATCCAAAAATCAGATCGACAGAATTCTTGAATATCCCACAAACAACGAATCGGTTAGAAAAAATATACTGGTGCCACTCAAAAATATGTCTAAAAGAATTGAAAAAATAGAAAGAAAATTAGTTTCCGAAATAAAGTCGCAAGCGTTTGAAAAAAATACGGAACTTTTGAAACCCCTAAATATTGCAAGAAGAGAAATTGAAAAGTTGAAGTCAGATGTATCAATATTGAAGAAAAAACCCCATAAAGTCGTATATTCCTTCATTGAAATTGCTGAACCTCTCAACAAAATCATTGATCATCTACAAAGTGAAGAAGTCAAATCTTCGGAAAACCTGACCAAAGATTTGGAAAAAATCTCTACGGCTCTCCAAGAACCTATGGATATGTTATCAAGAGCTGCAAAAACAACAAATTCAGTACTTACTGATCCAGATATTTTTCATGTAGAACTTCCCACCACATGCGTTGATTTGAAGAAAGTATTAAGGTCTGTTGATTCTCTTACATCTAATCCACATGTCAGACATTTGAATATTGTCCAAGAAGTGGGAAAACTTTTAGTATCACTCCAACAAGTGATACAAGAATGTGACGAAGAGAGACTTGACAATAAGTCTGTGAAAAACATCGAGAAAGCTGTTTCCAATTTCCTTAAAGAGATCAACGAGTTGAATAATAACAAAAATATATTGAAGAATTCAGGAGGGGATTTTGTATTGAATTTTACTATTTTGTATGACCCACTAATTCAATTACAAACTAACCTGAAACTCGCTAGAGAGATCGGATTCGATACAAAAGACTTCTCATTCGATTATTCCAATATTTTGAACAATATCGGGGACAAACTGACCGCACTCAGTCTCTTCTTAGGAGATACTAATGAAAATCCTGCTGGTTTGAAGACCATTGAACGTTATGAAACGGAGATATATTCCATTGTAAATGATTTGAAGTGTTCATTGGGTGAGATTTCCAATTCAGTTGTTCTTAACGAAAAAATGGAGGTGCTTTCCCAATCTCTTGGTTTATTCGCCGTTGAAGTTCAACGACTGATGGATAAACTGGTAACAGAAATGATGGAAAAACAAAATGATATGGTATTCGTGAAAGAGTTTAAGAAATCATGCGAAATGTTGGAGAAATGTTTATTAGGAGATGACAAATCAATCAAAGGTTTCCGTAAGAATCTCAGTTTATTGGAAACAACATTAGTAGACATCGAAAAATATATAAGAACAGAAAAAAATTTCAATATGAACGAGAACGTTATTAAAAATGAGACAATTATTAACAGTTTCGTCAAGTGCCAAGAAGCTTCTGTAGAACTGAATGAAAAACCTCACAAAAATTCAACAACCAAATTTATATTTTGTTTGAAAGAACTGAATGAAAATATTAACAATTTAACGGAATTATTGAAAGAATCAAAATTATATAAACCCATGATTGAACCTTTGAAACTATGCAATGGAAGCGTTATTGAATTGATAACAGATCTGGAAAAGCAGTCGGCTTCAGATGAAGATGAAGAAAAGCGAGAAGAAGAGCATGATCTGATAAACAGTCACAAACAAGATCAGCTTCAAACTGAAGGCCCTAGTGGTGAACAAACAAATGATATTCAGGAAAGTAACCAGGTAGCGGAAAATAGTATTACAGAACTTTCAGACAAGTGTGGTACGAAAAGGAATGAAGATGAAATTAAAAATGGAAAATCGCAAGAAGAAGAGAAGCTAGCAAAACGAGATGAGGGTGGCAAAAATTCAATCGGGGCTGAAAACAATGATGAACCCAAAGTATCAATGAAGAAAAACAAAGTTATGAAGATACCTAAAAAGAGTTCTCCTAAGAAGAAAACTGCAGAAAAATCAAAACCTTCCGTTTTGAAGGTGGAAGATACTGAGAAACACTCTATAGAACAAATAAAGTCAGATCAACAAGGAAATGAAACTACTGAAGTTTCTGAAACGAATCAGTTATCTATTGAAGATCGAAAGGACATTCACGATGCCCAAGAAATTTCAGTTTATGGTGAAAAGAAACTTAGTAAAACCGATGGAATCACAGAAGATCCAAACAAATTCGCAGACAAGTCAAACCAAATATATCCATATGAGAAAAAAGAAGAATCAAAAAGTATACAGATAGTTGAAAAAACAATTACCGTTATAGATAAAAAGCCTGGAGCGAGTAAAAGTTCAGAATCCAGTGTCAGAGAAAGAGAGGCGAACGGTCATGAAAAACATTCTTCTGGTAACACCATCCACTATGTGGTTGATGTTAAAACTGGAGAAGAAAGAACAGGAAGACCTAGAACAAGAGATACCACAAAGCCAGCAAACAATTTGGATATGGACTCTTACAAACCTACTTCTTATATAGGAGCCAGACATATATCATCACAACCTATATTTTCAAGTAATTTGATAGATCGTCTCACTACTATTGATTCGACAATCGAGTTGACGTGTAGTTTGGTGAATGGTGATTCTGCCGAAATCAAATGGCTGAAGGATGGACAGCCTTTATGTGATGATAACAACTACTTCACAAAATTTGCGAATAACGTGGCAAGCTTAGAAATACTGAAAGTATCAATGACTGATAGTGGAGAATATACCTGTGTAGCTAAGAATGAACACGGTTCGAGTCAAACAACTGCTTATTTGAAGATAGCACAGGAGTTTGACAGTCCCAGTGGATCGCCAATTTTTAAGAGAAGTATAACAGATCACTACAAAATTTCAAATGACGAACTGACTCTTGAATGTAAGCTCAAAAGTGCAAGCAAACCCAGAGTACGCTGGTTCAAAGATGGAACAGAAATAGGTGTAGGCTTAAGACATTGCCAAACATATTCACCTGATGGAGTATGCAAACTAACTATTAAAAATCCAGATAAAGATGATAGTGGACGTTATATTTGTAGAGTCGAAACGGACTTGTGGAATGACCAGATATCTCACGATGTCAAGTTCCATAATAAAAAAGAATACATTCATCAGAAAACAAAGCAAAGAGAATCCCAGGATAGCAGTACGACAAGATCGGTTCGACCGTATTTTTCAGGAGTTCTAACTGATTCTTTCGTTCCTTGTGGAGGAGTCATAGGCCTCCAAGTCGAAGTGAAGGGAATGCCGACTGAGGTTACTTGGTTCAAGGAGGGTACAAAGTTATCCGATGCTTCCTTCAAGCACAGAACCTTCACGGAAAGAGGTATCCATACGTTGATGATCACCGATGTAAACCAATATGAAGCTGGAAAGTACACCTGTAGAGCATCTTATCCAAAGGGACGGATCGAAACTTCGGCGTATGTTCAAGTTATTCAGTCTGCAGCCATCCAACATGGGAAGACAGCGATGTTTCTATCCAGACCTGATAAAATTCTGAACCTTGCTGAAGGAGATGATGTTGTTGTTTCTTTTAGAGTGACTGGAGAACCTAGGCCCACAGGTGAGTGTTGAGATGATTTTTATTTATTTACTTAATCATTGTCCCTTCAACCCTCCAAGTCATTACAGTCAGTTCGATGAAATCAATAACACCATTAAACAATTTAGGATACATAGTGGGTTAAATTTTATGAATCATTCCAATGTATCTGAGAAATTCTATAATTTTGCATCTCACCTAGGAGTTCAGTCAGGGGGAGCGCGATCTCGTTCATTTGGCGTTGGTTATTGTAGCTTCGACGTGATTGCCTCCACTCATATTGTCATGCATCGATGACAACTTTTGTTGTGGGGTTGATTTCTTCATTCCTTGGCTAGTTGATCAACGATTTCATTTCATTGGATGCCTGTTTGGAATGGAACCCAGACAAATTCAATTATCTTTTCCTGCTGCTACAGTAGGTTCATTTCTATTTTGATGAAGATGATAATTGGATGGGATGGATACAGTTGGAGTATTGCAGATACGGAACTGAAGGAATCGGTTACAATCACTTTTTTCATTATTATGTATTCGGGGTTTTATATTGGAGTCTATTTTTTCGTTACATGGTACCATGCATGATAATTACATTTCGAAACAGAAAATAACTGGAAAAAAGTTGCCTCAATTTATGATAAATTGAATTGAATGAAATTTTGTAATTTTTGAATGCATATAGAATTTTTATAGAAATATACACTACCAAATCTTTGAATTTCTTTCCAAATTTCATTTTAATTTTCTAGTTATCTGGATGAAAGGGTTGAAAGATATCACCAATAGTATGAGATCAATGAAGGAGAAATCGAACGATTACATAAGATTCACCTTGAAAAGGGCAACAGCTGAAGATGCCGGAACGTATTGCATCCTTGCGAAAAATCGACATGGCTGTGACAGAGCGTTTTTCACAGTACGTTTGAGGAATAGGGCGAGATCGGTTACTCCGACCAGACCTGAACACGAGATATATCATGAGAGATATTGCAGAGAAGGTAAAGTTGATTACTCTTTTATTTTCTGTTGCGGTTCCGAATAATGTGTTGTTACATCAAACCAATCATTATAACAATATGAAAAAAATAAATTCGTGTATCGTTATAAAACCTGTGAAGAAATGCTCGTTTCGAATTATTTGTTTAACATGAACATCAGATTTGCATTATTGAATTGATTACTACGCCCAGAGATACATTCATAAATGTATATGAGGTAGGTTTATTTCAATAACCATAGAAGGTATTTAGAGATCAAACTCTAGACTGATAGACCGTGGTGGAATAGAACTTGTAGCAACCTGCTTAACGGATTTTGTGCTCTCGTGACTCCGATCATGAAAACCTACGTTTACAAAAGGTATTCAAACCTGCCTCGGTTTTCAATAATACGTCTGTCTGCTCGAAAAATAAGGTGACTTTCCATTCTTCTCTTGTGCCAGTGTTTTTTCCAATCGGAGCAATTCGAATATGCACTTTTTGGAATATCCTTGAACTTCGGTTTTCATCTCTTCAATCGTCGCAAAATGCCTTCACTTCACAGGCCTCTTCAATCTGGCGACAGAAGAAAGTCACAGGGTGTCAAATCTGGTGAATACGGTGACTGAAACATGATTACGATGTTTTTTTTGGCCAAAAAATCACGAACGAGCAATGAAGAGTTATCATAACGCAGAAACCATGAATTGTTTCTTCAAAATACCGGACGTTTTTTTGTATTGCTTCTCGCAAGAGGCGCGTAACTTCAAAATGATACTTCTCACTTACCATACAACCATGTGGCAAGAACTCCTGATAGACTATGCTCTGATGTACTAGGAATTGAAGAAAACAGTAAGCAAAGCCTTGACATTCGATCGAACTTGTTGTGCGTGGGGGCTATTGGTTCTTCTGGGCTCCATTCAGACGATTGAACTTCGGTTTCGATGTTATAACGATATACTCATGATTTCTGAACTTCGCTGCCACACGCTTCATGCCCAAAATTTCCGAAAAAAATGTTCATGACATGAGCCAACCGATATGTGGTTCGACGATTTTCCATAACAATTGTCTACACTTTCTCATCCATTTAAGATTGCGCTGCAGGTAAATCAGACGGCAGACATTCACACAATACAATGAATGAGAAAACGTTTACCAAATGGACTCTCCGCTTTCCCGTCGATGAGAAAGGCATGAGGGCTTCTTTTTTCAGTAATTGCAAAAGTTTCATGTTTCAATTAATACAAATGTACCAGGTTGAGTCAATCACTCTCCACTTTTGTCTCCAGAAATGAATAAGTGGAAACACTTATTTTTGGTCTTTTGATAATGCGATACGTAGTCAACCACGTTTATTGAAGTTTTGTGATTTAGGTTCTCAATTTAGGTTCTCAATTTAGATCGGACGGTAGCCAGTCGGTTCAACGTGGGTGCTTTGTTCACTCATTCAAATCGACCGCCGTGTTGGTCGCTGGTTCAAGCCACAGGCTGAACGATCTATTTTCACTCACTATCGTCCAACCCGTGTTAGGAATCACACGTTAAAAGGTAAGACCTCGTTAGACCTCTCACAAGTTTCGACTTCTGAAGGTTGTCTTTCACAGGAGTGTGACAACAGGTTAACGGAAAAACAGATTTTAAACAGATTTAATTGTAGAAAAAGCTTACCTTATTGTACACTTTCTTCAAACTATTAAAAAAATTGTTTCTGATTATTAAAAGTGTGAGTGTATTCTACTTCTACGTGCTATTTATAATATCTCTCTTCCCTCTTTCTCTCTTCGAATAATATCGTTTGTCAAGCAATTATTGGGGCTTACAAATATTTTGAAATTCAGATTCGACATTCTTATCTGTCAATAACAACAGAGCTTCCTTGAATATATTTCCTCATTATCAAATGAGACATCCATCATTCACTCGCATTACTTCAAAATTACTTCTCGCATTTGTTTGAGCACGAATTTCCCGGTATTTTCTAGTCTATAAATTCTCTGAGTAACTATAAATATTCAATTATAATATGTAACATCTTGATGAAAGTTGAAGTTTTGTGAGTTTGCCAAAAATTCACCTACAATACAAATGCTAAAATTAGTTAGTGTGATGCTCAGATTCCTTACCAGAATCACTCGAGATATTCAAACTCTCTAAAATTAAATGAAATCAGAATCCGAGATATAAATCAAAAAATGCGCATAATCAATCCACTGGACGACACGGGATGTCAATATGCCAACGAACTATCTCTCACCCAACTCAGGGATAAGTGGTGTTCTAGGAACTGTGTCATTTCAGATTTTCTCAATTATCTCGTCAAATATCAAGGTACGATTCTGTTTGAGTTAGAGTAATTTATGGCGGATTTAGAAGTAAAACTAACAAGTAGTGCGTTCCATTTTCAAGTTATTTGGACTCAAATATGTTTGAATTTACTTTTACTTCATATAAGTCTGAACAGCAAAATCTCATCTCAGTAATATGCATTACACAATAATGAAAACACGGTTGAGACTTGAGGTTATAAGGTTTTATCAATTGTATACATGACTTAACTGGCTATTGATTGCCAACATAATAATGTAGTTCCACTTATTTATACATTATATTCAATCCGGCAATTTTATAAAGAACCAAAATTAACTCAGCTTCCATAATGTCTGGATATTTTTAAATGCACAAAGAGAAAGTGGTAGCTTCCGATATTACCATTACTATGAAAATAATATCATGAAGTTATTATTCAAATTATGTGTGAAATGTGTGAAAAAAAGAAATTATTTCTTGGAACAGAAATTCATAAACATATTTCACTTTAAATATGTCATACGCACGACACCAACAAAAAGGTAAGATGACAATAGGATGGGTAGGAACTGGAACGGTATAAGATCAAAAAGTAGGTCACACCTGAATTTGCCTTTTTTCAATTCAATAGATTCAATAATTTGAACCAGAACCCAACAACGAAGCATTCGTGATCCAACAACAGACAGTGACGTTTCGACCCGCCATAGATCTCATCAGTAGTGCTAGGCTAAAAACTAGGCTAAACTACTCGAAGGACAGTTGAGTCCAGCAAAGAGCAATGGCAATGGCATCTTCCCTCATGAAGACGCCATCCATGAAATCGATATAAATTGCAATCAACGAATATCAAATATGAACGTGGCTTTCTAAGGCTTTCATTTGCAAAACCAAGCTTCAACGTCAACTGCTGAACAAAAATCCACTTTCTTTCTCTGTAGCTTCCACTGTGAGGCATCTGGATGAAAACCTAGCCCAGAAACGAAGTATTCGACTAAGTTGAGCAAGAAATGCATTGCTAGACTCAAGGGTCCTTAAAGAACAAGTGTGAGTAAATGAAGACGTCTTCTCTTAGCGAAACGATCGACGATCGACGAAGGCGCCCAAGGTTTGTCCTTTGGAAACAGTTGTGTCCAGCATTGCATTCGTGATTCAATCAAACACCACTAATGGGACCTATATAAAACCTTGTTCTTGGATTCCAGTCTCAACTAGTTGCCGTGCAGTGGAAGCTACAGAAAGCGATGGAGTACGTATCTGATACAGTTTCTTGAAGCTTGGCTTTGCAATGGATCGCCTTGGAAGCCCCGTCGATATCTGATATTTGAGTCGATTCCATTGATGGTGTTTTTATGAGGGGAAATGTCATCGCTTATACTCACACTCAATACTCTTCTCAAAAATATCTTAACGTTTCGACAATAACTTTTACATAGGCAAACTCGTTGCAAAACTTTCTACAAGGAACTGTTTCATGAACTAGTTGTTTGTGTTTTCAAAAATGTGTCCAGTGTTGGAGAGAGACGAAAAGTCCAATACGTTGATGAGAATTAGAAATGCGTATTTTTCCAATCGTTCTATATAGTTGCATCTGATAAATGCCTGTGAAGAAAAAATTGATACTAGTATGGGAAACGGCAATAGATTTATTATTGGAACCAATTGAAGGACCAAACTGAAAACTGAACTACAAGGAATTCACTATCAGCCTGTATAAACCAAAAACATATCAGATATCAGTAGGAGTTACACCAATTCAGCAAGACTGTGACCTCATCACACCAGTCAAGTTGCCTTTCAGCTTACTAGGCAAGGCAGACAGACCACCCAGCCAATCAGACTGTACAAAATTATCACGTGGCGTCCTCGCGTATTGGTTTATTCTTTCGCAGTAGTAGTTTTCTCTCTGCAGTTCTGATGTGGATATGTGGCTGAACGGCTTCTAACTTGACAGAATTCAGTGTCGAGAACCAATCTGAGTTCATCGGATTCTCAGGCAGCCGCATCGAAATTGAATGCTCCAACTCTGGCTATTTCAGTGTCATGGACCATGCAGAAGAGATAATTTCAATTACTGATGACTTTTAAAACTCGTCCAGCCCCTTTCAGTTATCAAAAAATGTATAGGTACCTGTCGAACTGACGATTTAGAATATAAACTTTTTGAAGTTGCATCATTTTTCGGCTCTTCAGGTCGAATTGGTTTAGCTCCTCTAAAGTCCACTTGACTACTCCAAAAAAGTAGAATAGGTTAAAAATGACAAGTTTGTTTGTGGCAGCAACATTGCTCTGTGCTGGTCGTTCTGATGACCAGATCTGTCGGAATTCATGGTGATGGCTGCTACAACTGTTTCATCGTTTTTACGCATTGGGGGAAATAACCATAAACTTTTCATGAATTTTTTTTCTATCAATTCGTATCAGATCCGCACAAGATAAGTGAAGACAAGGAATAACACGAGTTCGAGCATATTGAACAATTCTAGGAGAGTCTGAGGGAAATAGTCGATACTTGATGAAAATCTTTAACGTATTCAGGTAACACTCCATTGTGAGATTTCCACTGAACAGTTCAGAAAACCATAACACGTGTTTCACTACACAATAGCTACCTCAGGCATGTTCATACTGAGAACTGTTAAGTACTTTTTGGGTACTGTTCAGTACTGTTGAGTACTGTTTCGAGGAAGCTATTGTATAATGAAGCATTCGTAATGGTTTCGTGAACTTTTCTTCCAATGAAATTTTTCTAGAAGAGTAATTTTCAATATCCATTCCTTCTGCCTTGATTCTAGCCTCACTGCTTTCATGTGATGTGATATTGCCAACACAAAAATATATCTTCTTGAATATAATTGCATTTCAGATGATTCAACTATTGATGTTTTTTTCATCATTTCCCTTTCTGTCGCCTAAATCTATCCATCCAAATAATTATAATCCCTTTCTTCCTTCTACCTTCTCATCTATTTTCAAATATTTGCACTTCTTTTTGAATGTATAATGTGACAATCACCAATTCCTAACAATAATAACTATTCAATGAAAAATGTTTGGATGAAATCCAATAGTACTGAAAGAATGATGAGACTGAAGTAGTGAGATTTTTTGACGAAACCTTTTCATGATTCAGATGTTCCTGGCCGCATTCCTGGAGAACCGATCGTTAGTGATTCCGGCCGAAATTGGCTCAGCCTCTCTTGGGAGAAACCAGAACAACGTGGAACCACTCCGATTTTGGGGTACCGCGTCGATGCCTGGGAACGCGGTAGTGAAGGTGCCAGGTATGTACTTAAGTGAAAACAACAACGTATGTTCTGTACTGAAGAGACATAAGCCTAGAGCAAGGCCCCCACACGAAACACACTTTCACTATATTTTGTAATCAATCCTGAAGCTTAATAAACATTTTTGACTTGACTTGTATCAAACATCATGAAAAACGTATCATTTTGAAGTTGAACCTATTTTTCAAAATATCACACTGTTTTTTATGAAAAATCATTCACATATCAGGCTGTTACCACTTTCAATATATATATAATAAATAATACCACAACCATGTTTATCGTTCAAAAAGAAAATTAGGAACATCATATTCGATGAACAGTGATCACAACAATCTGTAAGACAATTCATCTATCAATAATTTTTGTTTTTCTTTTTTGTTGTAACTACATATATGTGTCAATTTGTAAATGTACAAAATACTGGTTGAGTGGAAGAGTAGCGTAAGCTAAATCTGAGTAACATTTTCATAGAACATTTTGAGAATACATCAGAATTGTCTAATAATAGAGATGTGTTGATGATGTACGAGTATTCGCTATCTGGGACCCTAGCCCGGATGATATCTTGAATCCAAGAAAGCCCACAAGAAAACTTCACGTCAGAAAAGGAAGTTTATGATCACGTTGAAAAAGGTATAGTCAGATGTTTGTATGATGAAGCTAAAACATTTTATAATTCAATTCATAATTCGGAATAAAAAATAACTATAATCAAAATTGTTTTGAAGGGAAAGATTNTAACTATAATCAAAATGGTTTTGAAGGGAAAGATTTATCCAGGCCTGGTAAAAAAAGCACCCAATCACCCAATGGAGGCAAAAACAACATATGAATATTCCACAATCATCACAAAAACAACAACACACATGTCGCTCAAAACACGTCAAACTATTATTCCCGGTTTGACTGAATAATTGGGACGAATCGGTTGCAGATGTGATGAGAAGAACAACTTTCAGAACTACCAATAAATGGAGATCTATTCTGGCACAAAGTAAACCAGAAATACGAAAGAGTATGTCGACAATATACCTTGTTCTTGTGGAAAAAAGTTATGTAGATAAAACCTCAAGACCTCTAGATGTGAGAAAAAATAAAAATCGTGACATATTACAGTTTGAAGTAAATATTAGGTGTTCCCACTAAAGCGATACGATAAGCGATGCAACAGGTGATTGAGCGAAAGAAAGACGCAATATCGTTCGACACGTTCATGTCGGGTCAGCAAGAAGAGGTGCAATCCTCTATTCCATTCGTAAAACTGGTGCAGCAGAACGATTGCCTCTCCAGTCCCCTTGACACTGATTTCAATAAAACATGGTAACTATTCGAGCTCATTCTATGAAACTCTCTAAATTCGGCAAAAATTCAGAGAGTTTTATAGAATGAGCTCAAATAGTTACCATGTTTTATTGAGATTGGTGTCAAGGGGACTAAGAGTTTTTTCAGTGTAGGAACGAATTTTGGTATGCATGAAAAAACATTTTTAAAGTAGGTACTTAACGAATGAATATTACTGAAGTTTTTCCCCAACATCACCATGTGATCATCTTCAAAAGGAAGGTCAAACTCTTCCTCTGGAGTTTTTTCTCAGTACCAAACCGTTATTTTAACATCTCGACACGTGTTTGGATCACCAAGTGATCATCTTCAAGAGGAAGATTCAACTCTTTCTCTTGAAATTGATCACTTGGTGATCAAAAAACGTGTTGATGTGTTGAAATAACGGTTTAGTGTTGGGAAAAAACTCCAGTGATATTCATTACTACACCAAAGGTTCCGAACAGTGCATCACAAATACTTAACGAATACAAAGTAGGTACTTATCTAACATATGGAGAATGAACGTTGAAATTTCTGGAGAAAGCACTGAAGAAGGGTAGATAATTGAAGTTTACTCATTCCACTGTTTTAGTCCCCCTTCATTTGCAATTTCTTCCTTTCCACTATGTACGAATAATACTATTTTTCAACTCAACTAAATCCTATCTAATTTTTCTGAAAATTCATATACCATCCTCATTTTCAGGTTCGTGGCGAACCGTTCCCTACCATCCGGTGGTTGAAAGACTCACGAGAACTTTCTGACGTAGAAGATGACAGATACAAAATCGTGCAACATGGTAGTACATGTTCCTTAACCATCAAAAATCTGCAGGAGATGGACTCTGGTCGCTTTATGTGTGAGGCTACGAATAAAGTTGGAAGAGTGTCCACATTCGCAAGGCTTTCCGTCGTTAAAGATTCAAAAATTTTGAGTGCTGATGCAAGATTGAAACTGTAAGTAGAATTTGAATGATTGAGTACGTCAGTCTATCGATGATTATGAATTTCAGTGGAATTTCCGAGTTCACGAAAACTCAGGGACTACCTCCTCAATTCACTATGAGACTGAGGGATAGAAGAGTTCAGATGTCGTATCCAGTAAGATTAACCTGCCAAATAGCTGGTTGCCCGGAACCAACTGTTAAATGGTTCAGAGATGATAAGGAAATTATTTCTGATGGTGAGTTTAGAGAAATTCTTTGATTTCTGCCGGAAAATTCGTTCATAACATTACCTCTTATTTTTTCGAAAATGGCCCGAAATAGTTTGCAAACTTTTCACCAATATTAGAAACATTCAAATGAATATATTTTTCTGTCCCAAAATTTGATAAACATCTGTTTTTACTTCAGTCCTAAAGAAATGAGAGAACCTAGAGAATATTGACTTGTAAATCGTATTTCATTCGAGAATTTTTGTATTTACCTAGTAGTAGAACTATTACCTGATAATTGTATATTCGAGTTAATCAGTCAACGATAAATATTCCTTGAAAATATATGTGGCACACATGGTCTCATTTTCTAGACGGTTTTTCCGTGATAATCATCAATTTATATATAATCCTGATATATAACCAGTTTGTATGTTATATATGGTATATTATAGTGTTTGTATGAAAGATTTGAGTGTCTTGCGTATGTAGACATCATGGTGGCTCCGATAGCGGAGTTGGTGAATGCGCCTGTGAAGAGAGTCTTATTGTTTCAATTAACTATTTTTTTCATTTATGTCTGCATACCGCAAATTCAATCACTGGTATTAGGCATATTGTTTGTATCTTCCGTTATTAATTGAAGTCAAGTTTCAATTGAACCATAGAAATGATCTAATGAAAGCACTCCTGGTGTATTGGAAACACAGCAGAACTGTTTGAGTCGTCATCGCAACCCAACTCTTGTAGTCGTCCGCTTTTTGTGCATTGGTTTTGTGAGGCTGCTACGAATGGCTTGGTTCCCCACCTTTATTTACCAAGTACCTATCCATGGTAACCGGTTACCGGATACCATGTGAATATGGCAAGTCTTACATCGGTGAAACCGACAAGTCTTACATCGGTGAAACCGACAAGTCTTACATCGATAAAAACAAGAAGCTATTGAACGTGCGTATACAACATCAAGTGGTCCGTAGATGAAATTATTCACGGAAAATAAGTTCAAAATCATGTTTAAAGAAGTTTTGCATTCAGTCAAGTTAGTGTGCAGATCCGCAATTCATGTAAACCTTTAATCAAGTGGGAAAATGGGCTACGGTGCACTGAATTGAAAAATCAAATTGAAAAAGTGGACAGTGCGCCTCTTTGACCTCATTTAATTTTTCCTTTCTTTAGTGTTGATTTTTTTAATTCGATTTTGATTCAATTTTATTTTTCCTTCATTGTTCATCATTGATATTTTATTTTTTGTTTGTAATACCTCTTTCTAACTCATATTGAAAACTCATTTCCATTTCAGGTCCCAAAAATTTGTTTTCTACACAAATGATCAATCTCATTTGATGGGCAGGGTTCGAACCTTTTGTGTAAATGAATCTATTTAAGTGAAACTGAGTTTACATCTATGTTAATTTCAAGTAGGTGAGATTGATCAGGAGATCAAAAAAGCATCACATTTGGCATAATGCTGACGATAGTATATAACTTTTCCAGTCGATAATATATCCATTGCTGAATATAATTTCTTAATGATGAGGTATCACTTGACACCTGATATCATTCGAAAAACTTGGAAAATGACACCCTCACTTAGAGGCTTGAAGATTTTGCTATGCTTTTTGCTGAGTTTGCCCCTTTTTGTATTTTCTCGAGGGATTATTTCCCACCATGTTATGCTTAGGGCGGCCATACAGTTGTACCGAAGCAAGAATACACGATGCGACACACGTACCTACTTTTATTCAGCAACATTTTCTTCTACAAGTGACAGGAACAATTTGCCCACCCTAAACAAGATGCTATACCTAAGTCATTACCAATATTGTAATGATGATCTCTTGTCTTTTTCAGATCGACATGTATTTTCCACTGATGATAATTTCCACACTTTAGAAATTAGTAAAACTCACTTGGACGATACAGGAACTTACATCGTAACCGCCCAAAATAGTTTCGGTTCGGTGTCTTGCAAATGTAATCTGGCGGTTGACAAAGGAATCAAAGCATACATTTCCCCAGAATTCTCTAACTGGTTAGAACCATCGTTCTCGACGTTACCGATAGGTGGAGAATTACGGATTACCGGTAGAGTGGAGGCTTATCCAAGAGTAGGATTGATGTGGTACAAAGATGGGGTAAGTTTAAGTTACATTATATGGTGAAACTTCAAACTGTTTTTACTGACATTAGAAGTGGTATATTCACTGGAATTCAATATATCTCAGAATCTTTTTATAGAAGATTGTATACCAAATTTCGTTAGTCAAATCAACGATTTTGATGATATTTTTCAAATGTCTGTTCTTTATATTAGGTATATTTATTCGAAATCAGAAACCATTTGAAGAGGAAACAAAATTTGTAAAATCAGAATCAATCATATTGTTCAAACGATGTGTCTGATATACAGTGTATCAATTTTAAAACTTACAATGGGCTATATCTCATGAACGAAAGCTGATGTCGAAAAATACTCGAAACCGTTTCTAGGATAGTGAGGGGGAACTAAAGTGACATGAAAGAGAACTCACCCCCATCAACCCCCTAGGCCCCACCCACCTAAACACAAAAAATTTAAATTGTAAATCCTACTTGTGATACATCATTGAAAAGACTACAAATAATGCTATCCAATGGTATAAATAATAATTGTATAGGGTGAAGCAAGAATCGTGAAACTTTGGCTTGAATGGAATATTTGATGAGGTTTTTGTTGAACTGCAAATTTATTAAAAATGTCAATTAAGTANTTTTTATAGTCTTTTCAATTATGTATCATAAGTAGGAGTTTGCAATCTAAACTTTTTGTTTTTCAACACTATATTAACGGGCCTTCAAACTTTGACAATTGAAAACAGCCATCTCGTTGAAGATATATCTGTCAAATTAGCTGTCATTTATTCAGCTAGTTTTGTCAAATCACCATCAAGTGCGAATAATAAAATTGTTTTATCAAAATGGGTATTCTGTTCGAGCAACGTACCGCGCGTTTCGCCCATTTTCGGTCGCCATAATCGTCATACCGAGAGGACTACTCGCATTCCTACTGTTCAGTAAACGATCAACCAGCACCCGTATGTCGACGAAACGCAAGATCTGCCGAAAACATCGCCGCTGTCTGTGAGAGTGTGCAGGAGAATCCGAAGCAGTCGATTTCCCGTCACCCACAAGAACGCACTCTTACAAAATTCAACTGACCCAGGAATCGAAAGTGAACGATCATAGACAAAGACGGCGACGTGGGTTCGTTGAAAGGACTCGATGAGGGCTATTTCTGGATGAATGGTTACGTGAACAAATAAAATTGTCAAACTTGGGGCGATACCAATCAACATGGGATCCAAGAGCGTCCAATGCACTCCGACAAAATTACTGTTTGATGTGGAGTTTGACTATCATAAACTATAGTAATCATAGACCATAGGTCCATGATTACCAACTTCTCTTGGTCTGGATCAAATGGTCTGTACACCAACCACATGTAGTTTAAACAGGACGGCGCTACGTGCCACACAACTCATGCCACATTGGATATTCTGCCAGAGTCATAGAAAATTGGATGTTTCGGATGCGCTCCACAGAAAAGCCGTTGCAAACATTTGAACAATGTTATATTCCACACATAATGGCATCAATTCGTCTTTCAAATACTTTGTTTCATTGAAATTTAGAGATAGGAAGTACTTAAGGAGAGACCATATACTTAGATATTCATGTAACAACGTCTCCACCAACGCTAATGTTGATGATAGAACTAAAGCGTGTGAGAGAAATCGTGAATATATATGATATATACTTCAATCGATTATTTATCAAAAGAAAAAAAATTGGGAAAATATGGGTTCGTCAGTTTCTTTCGAAAAAGACTGTCCAAGCAGAAGGGCATGCGGATCATTCAATTGTACAATCAAAAGATATTCATGGCTTCAATACCTGTCGATGAAGAAATCTTGATACAAAAAAAAAAGATGGGGAATCTTCCGAAGAAAGGAAGAAACTAATCAATTTGAAAATAAGTAACTCTATAACATAGATGTGTAGATCATGCAAAGAAGTAACTTTCAGACACAAACTGAAAAGAAGTCCTCCTGATATAGCTACTAGCTATACACGAAAGAAAAATATTCTTTCGAAACAAATACTTCTATATGAACACTGATATANCAAACGTTAATGGTTGAAAAACTGCGTGAAGATATACTTCTTAATGAAAGTAATAATTGTAATTTCACAATGTTCCTATTGCACAATTGCCACAAACTCAAATGAACTGCGATATAATTTTTCATAGTATTAGCTTCGGAATAGCAACAGGTAAAGTGTTTTCAGAGATATACAGAATGACAATTTTATCCTGAGTGGAAAACCAGCAGGTAGCTGGTGTTATATTCTTAGTATTAATCATACATCCATGTATTTGAATAACTACTTCAATATATTAAAATAAGATACCTCATTTTGGTACTACATACCACTTTAGTCTGTCGTTAACCTAGGTCTGTTCGTTGTTCGTCAACCTAGGTATGTTCGTTGACATAGTTCTCATAACAGGTATGTACTCAACAAGGACTTACGTAAATTATTGTCGGAGTATTTGCAAACAAATGTACTGTCAAGTACCAACTTTCTGGTTTTATCATTCAGGATTAAACTGTCGTTTCAAATGCAGTAAAAAAAACATACCAATAAGAACAGTTCACTTGCAAGTGAAACTATAAAAAATAATGTTATTTGAATTTCACCTCTCGATGTTTACATAAAAAATTGTGTGAAACTTCCAATGGAAGTTCAAAATAAGATTTTCACAAAGATGTGTATTAAACAGGAAATAGTGATTCTCGTATGATTCAATGTTCATACGGGAGTAGTTGTTTCGAAAGAACTTTGTGTTTCGTGTAATTTAATGTTTATATGAAGTTAGTTGTTTCGAGTATACTTTTTTCCAGTTTCCAGAAATTAAATGAATGGTAACAAATTGCACTTACATGGAACACTGTCATCCTCATTGGTATACATTGATGTTTCGTCCTAAGACACTTGCCCTAAAGCTCTTCAGTACCAAATTGGATAACATTATAGAAAATACACACAATTCATTCATAAATTACGATTTTCAATGTCACGGAATAAGCTTCATCTACTTATGTCATCGATGATATCATAATGGCATTCATTCACCATTTGATTCAATCCCAGCCAAGATGAATCTTATTTGAATTGAAGGGGTGATTGATTTTTAGGAAAGAAAGTTTTGGCTTTCTACAACTCCATCTTGATACAAAAAAAAATTAATCACTCCTAAAAATATAACCCTTTCAATTCAAATAAGATTCCTCTTGGCTGGGATTGAATTGAATAGGTGAATGAATGTCATTACGATGTCATCGATGACATCAGCAGATCAAGCTTATTCCGTGACATTGAAAATCGTAATTCATGAATGAATTGTGTGTATTGTCTATAATGTTATTCAATTCGAATATTAGGTGTTCCCACTGGAGCGATACGATAAGCGATGCAACAGGTGATTGAGCGAAAGAAAGACGCAATATCGTTTGACACGTTCATGTCGGGTCAGCAAGAAGAGGTGCAATCCTCTATTCCATTCGTAAAACTGGTGCAGCAGAACCATTGCCTCTCCAGTCCCCTTGACACTGATTTCAATAAAACATGGTAACTATTCGAGCTCATTCTATGAAACTCTCTAAATTCGGCAGTGGTTTTTCGTGAGCTCTCTCAACATGAACAAAAATTCAGAGAGTTTTATAGAATGAGCTTTACCATGTTTTATCGAGATTGGACTAGAGAAGCACGGGTTCTGCTCCACCAATTCCACGAAGGAAATAGAGGATTGCACCCCTTCTTACCGACCCGACACGAACGTGTCGAACGATATTGCGCCTTTCTCTCGCTCAAGCGACCCGGCCGCTGTGCCCCCTCACCGACGCCACTCCGATAATTACCGGTGTAGTATCGTGATCGCCCCAGTGTGCACGAGATTAATTGCTTCCATTATGTATTCACGATTATGAGTGATCGATGTCAAATCAGGATCGGGTTGTACCTGTTGCATCGCTTATCGTATCGCTCCAGTGGGAACCGCGCCTTACAGTTTGAGTGGATAAAACTTTTGAAAAAACCTAATACCAATATTATTATGTTGATTGAATAATGAAAACATTTTTTCAGACTCGACTAAGGCCCTCCAGACGATCAATTATGACACTATCTTATGATGGAACACTAGAATTGTCCATTGCTAACTTAACAGTACGAGATGCTGGAGTCTACACTTGTATAGCTAGCAACGAAATTGGACGAGCGGAAAGTAGTGCTAGGATTGAGGTGACTGATAAATCTGTATCACTGCAAGATAAACCTACCATTGTCCGAACTGACATTCCGTAAGTATATTGACATCCATTGATATATGTAAAAGTCTATAAGTATTTTTATCTCTACTAGATATATCCTCCTGGAAGGGGAACGATAAACTTCATTTGAGCGCCTTGACGTTAACTTGTAATATATTGTGGCGAATGTATCTTTTTCTTTAATTTTTAATATTTGTGTCTCATCCTTTACATTACATATTTTTGAATCTACTAACGCCTCAGCTCCATTTTTTATGAGATCTGTGGTGGCCGTGGTAACGAAGGGGCGTGCCATTAACGTCCGTCGTCCGTCAACAAAGAACGTAGGTACTCGGATGCCTTGTGCTATGACGGGGCTGATATGTAACAGTTTTAGTCAGAATGTGAAGTGAAGGCCTCCTATTTTCAGGCCGGGGTGGTTTGGATAACTACGTAAAGGAAGCCATGTATGTGAATTCAAAATCCAAACGTCTTTCAAGGAGGAGGCGGCTAAAATGAATCAAAAAATATTTTCATGTTGAACTAAAAACTAAAAAATAATTCGAAAGCTCCTAGGTAGTACTCATCACACCACACTTCTCAGCATTCTACGGTATTGATAAGATAAAAAAATAATAAGTCGTTGGGCGTAGCGTAATCTGAGTAAATACGTAAATACTACACCCAACGATTTTATCATTTCTTATCCGATCAATACCGTCAATATTAATAATAATAATGATTATATCGCCTTCATTATTTCATAACCAAAACAAAAAACTCAACATAACTTATATATTCAAATATCAATTGAAATAAAAGGCCAAAGTTCATTGTCCGTAATGAAATACATCACGAAAAATGTTCTTCCACTTAAAGACCTTTATAGATGGACAGAACTAGGAGTAACCCCCTTGAACAGCTTTGATGCCTTCAATCTGAAACCTGAAGCAGAATACCAATTCAGAGTAACACCAAGAAACAGATATGGCTGGGGTGAGAGCATAAATAGTAGTACGATCACTTTGGGTAGACCCAATATCTTGCCAGAATTCATCGAGATACTTCCTGGACAAATGAAGGCACTGGTTGGATCTGATATGTCTCTAGAGTGCGAGGTTAGTTGTTTTCAATTCAAAAATTGAATATTGATTGGTAAATGCTAAATGCTGTTTTCAAAAGTGGTCAGCTGGAAAATTTCTGTAAATTTAACGTTCAAATCCATTTCGGGACCAGATTACAAAATTTCAGCTGACCAGTTCTACACTGAACCAAATAGGTACGTAGTAAAAATGAAAAAAACATTGTATTCATGACTGCTGGACATTGATTTTCATCCGATGAAAGGTTTCAGTAATATAATGTTACTTTTTTTATTAGTTCATGTCTCAGTTCATTGAACAATAATCGATTATTATACTAACAAACAGAATTGACTCATTGATCTTGTTCATGGAAGCACTGAACATTTTTCACAAATCTGCTAATCTATTTCATTGCATCATTGGAACAGTACATCATTTTAACGAACATGAGTGCGTTGATTCATTATGATTTGATGAAAAATCCATGGACTGGATTCGTCGTAGTGATGAATATATTGATTGAATGAATGAGAAAAAGATGCAAAGTCCAGATGCAGCTACAAAATAACGCATTACATATTATCTTGTAATACTGAGGCACTAAAATGAACTAAACAGAATGAGAATAATTGCCCAACAAAATTAGAAAATGAAATAAGTTCAGAATCTTTTCCCAAAATCGTAGCCAATTTTTCAAGTTGTTCATGTGATACTGTATCGGATGCTTCAAATAAGTTAAAAATACAATTATTTGGTGTCATTTTATCTGAAAAATTGTAGTTGTTTTCATTTATAACTCACATATTAGACGATTCTTTATACTTACCTTCACAATGGATATTGTGTGTTGATGATGGGACGTCTTTTCCAGATATTCCAAAGAACCCAAATTCCTCAAGAAGCCAAGATCAACAGAAGCCTTCGAGGGCGATGACATCACCATTCTATGTGAAGTGATTGGTGATCCAAAACCAGAGGTTATGTGGCTTCGAGATTTCCTGAAGGTAAGAATATTTTGAAATCTTTCATGCCCGTTTCTCTGTTGAGTTTTTGGCTTCGAAATGTCATGATTTTGAAATAGAAATTGCCTTCTATCCACAACTACCGACTTAGGTACGAAAAAATGTTGGTTTGCGTGACATTGAAGGTACTGGTAGGTATATGTATTTGTTGAACATAAGCTCAACAAATCATTCTTCAATAATACTTTCCATGTAACTTTGGTTATTTTTGGATTTGAGCCAGTGATACTGGATAATTTAAAATATCTATGCATATTTTCTAAAGACTAAAATTCCAGAAAATATCTAACTCTAATTTTATGGAATATAGGAGAATATACCTTGATCTCGAAGAACTTCGCAGTTATTTAGACCAGTTTGAACTAGACGATGATTGCAACGATTGGATATATTTATTGACAAATAAATGTTTTCGTAATCCTTTGTAACGAAAAAAGTGTTTCGGCATTAAACATTGTCACTATGTATTTCACAAACGAATATTTACATTACGAAAAAAAGTCTCCAATCAATAAAACGGAAAAGCGTGTTGACGTACTGTTCGTTGTTGCTTCACCACTCCATTTACCCTTCAGTCGTCAAAAGTACCTGCACGGTTGCGTTATTGAACTTATTTATTTCTGTGACTTGGAGCAGAGTGTGGTCATTTGATCAAAGACATACGTGTCGTTCTCGATTGGCGTTTGGGTATCATAAATGATTGACGTAAAACTGACAGCAGTTTATGCGATATCTAACTGTATGTTTCTTTTGGTGATTGTTCAATTCACCAACTGTACTCAGAAATACAATGGCTTCACAAATTGATGTCATTTTTTGTCAACCGTTCATGATACCAAATTCCAATCAAAAATGCCTATTGTCATCTTATATTCCGAAAAACCATTCAGCAATAAAGGAAAGCTTGCAAAAATGTCTCACAATTAAAACCGACAACATATTCAAAAATTAGTCACTTCATAAAATATAATCCTTTCAATGTGATTCAAAATTTGTTTATTAAATGAGGATGTTTCGATAGATGATGAATGCCAATCGAAATAATTTCGTTGTTGGACTAATAATATATAAAATTGTAAGAAATTGAAGTTATTCTGGTACAGATGAAATGTTTATTTTATTATTCATATTCTGCGAATGCCAGTTATGAATCAAAGCGAATCCATCAAGTATAAACCTCGGTTGATTCATGTGTGATACCCGTGAAGTAACAAAAGTTTCTCTGCCACTACGGCAGACACCATCAGTGATATGTGCGTTGACTGCGAGGATGAAAGTAATATCTCGAAGTATCAGCAACGACGGTGAAAATAATCATGGATTCAAGAACATAATGAATGATGTCACAGCCATAATCCTTCAGATAACGATTTCGATAAGCTCATGGGTGACGAAAAGTTGTCTCAAATGACAAATTGTATCTGTAGGCCTGAGTCATAACAGAAACTATAAAATACGACACTGTGCCGAAAATATTCGAGTTGAAGTTTGTATTTTAGATCAACGTTGGTCTGTCAACTTCAGCTATTACCTTTCTTGCCATTATATTGATGAAAAAAATCAATTATAACGTTTGATGGAACTTGTTCATCTTTTTTTCCCTTTAGCGAAAAGTACCGCAACGCTCAATACTTGGACCGATTCAATTTGCTCTTTATTCCTCCATCCCATCAATAATTTCAATCACTGCAAGGTGCACTTCTGTTCTCCAGCCGATTGTTGTGCTTTCGGGCGCTTTGGACGAGGTTCACCAGTTCGTCTCCACTCAGATGACGATCTTTTGATTGCGGAATATTTCATCCACTTCACTTTTCGATCATTCAAAACTATTTTGAGGTTTTTTTCTGTTATCTGGTATTGGCACCTCATTTGGACGTCCACTGCGTTCTGCAATATTCGGTGTCTTTACGAACATGTTTAAAGTCAGCAAACCAACATATAATCTTATTTCATCAGTTCGGACTTCCATTGTCTAATATATTATGAATTGATTTGAAATTCCCGAAAAAATATTAATAAGATTAACCGAAAATAACAATTTTATTTGAACAAAAAAACTGAAATTAAAAAGAAATAACAAAACCAAACAACAACCAAAAAAGAAAAATTAAAAGGTTTCAAACCAAGTTGTCACAACGTTTCGATTGTTAGTATCCACAATCGTCTTCGGGTGATAACTGGACTTATTCTTCCGAGATCCGACAATTCGAGTGCTATCACCTATTTCCTCTTCTCTCTCTCTCTCCGCTTCATTGGTTTTCAGCGGGAAATGACCGTTTGGCGGGAGTCGGTCGTTTTTCGTTTGATTAGAGGTTTCCATATATTACGTATCTCTACGCTAGCTTGACTAAATGCGTTGTTGGACAACATATACGCGGCTTCTTTGAATTTTCTTCTAAACCACTGTTCCTCTTTGTGGATAATTTCAGCTTGAGCCCACTTGATATTATGTTGATAAGCCCAGACATGCTCTGCTATTCCGGATTTGCTGGTTTCTCCTCGCTGTGTGTGTTTCTTGTGCTCAGCAATGCGAACTTTTAATGGCCTCTCAGTTTCATGTATGATGTATGATTTTCCGCACTCGCAAGATATCCGGTAAATGCAATTCTTGGAATCGCAGTCCGCGTTTGGTGGCCCGGTTTTCGTGAGGCTGCTACGAATAGTGTTCCCATATCTGAAACAGGTCCTGATGTTATACTTGGACCCAATCCTTCGTATCCTTTCCGATAATCCTCTGATGTAGGGAAGTACAAGTACTGGTTGTGGAGGCTTCTCTTCCTTGTGGAGCTCTTGCTGTCTTCTAGCGAAAGCCTGTTCTACCATCACCCTGGAGTAACCATTCCGTTGAAGGTCGTTTTTGATGATGCTTAGTTCCCTTTCGAGACCTTCCTTTGTATTACAGAGCCCGAAGACACCGTCTAGTAGAGTCTTGATGATTCCTCTCTTACTGAGGATACACTACAAAAACACACTTTTGTATATTTTTTACAAAAACACACTTTTGTCTATTTTCCACGATATTTCTTCATTGTTGACTAGTTTCGGCTATTACACCATTTTCAAAATAGTAATAGCCGAAACTAGTCAACAATGAAGAAATATCGTGTAAAATAGACAAAAGTGTGTTTTTGTAGTGTACCCTCAATGAACATGAATTTCCACAAAATAAACAAGTCGTCAATCAAAGAAGTGAAATTCCTCTCTTAGTCGATTGATGGTGGTTGGATTTCTGGTTTAAATACTGTCCTGTGTGAGTGGGTTTTCGATATACAGGTGTTTCCCATTTAGTGCCGGTCCTCTTCACCAATACGTCTAAGGAAGGCAATTCGTTGTGGACTTCCTTTTTTATTGTGAAAGTAATGGAAGGACTCACGTTGTTGATGTGCTTCAGGAAAGTGTCTAGTTCTGTATTCTCATTGTTCCATATTATGAAGGTAACGGCTTTGTATTCCAACCAGACTCGGGATTTCTTGTGGGCTTCTTCAATGGCCAGAGTTTCAATAGGTGTATAATTTTTGTTTCTGATGGAGCGGAGTCCTTATAACACTTTTAAGGTCACTGCTTTGCTTGAACGGCAGTTTTCTCATCAAGAAGCAGTGTAAAATTAAAACACGAAAATGGAATGATTCTGCAACCGTGTTAGGAATCACACGTTAAAAGGTAAGACCTCGTTAGTCCTTAGCTCGCATAAGTTTCTCAACTTCTGAGAGTTGAGGTTCGTATGGGGGCGACAGCTGATCAACGGAAAAACAGATTTTAAACAGATTTTAAAACAGATTGGTGAGGAATCGAAAGCCCTCATCAATGAGTCATCAGAAAAATAACACCCCCGCTAGAAAGTTGCGCAAGAAAGTTTTTAAAGATCAATGATCAAAACTTGTCCCACTCATAAACAAACTTGACATTTTTCGTGGTTCGTTTCGCCTCTATATGAAGGTAAATTTGCAAAATATTTTAAATTTTTTTTTAATAATGCAAATTGAAAGAAGGGATATATTTTTGGGTGAGATTGATTTTTGAGAAAAAATAGGTTTTGGCTTTCTAAATCTTCATCATCATACAAAAAATATTTTGATTATTTTCCTCGGTAATTTGTGAAACATGCGGACGGTCGTTGTCATAGAGCAGGATCGAACCTCTTCAGTTGACCAGTGCCGGCTCCAGGTGACGCAGTTTCAGGTACATTTCGTTGATTTTCTCACAATAGTGGTTTGGCCCGGTTGCAGAAAGTTAGAGTGAGTCACATCAGCCGCTGACCACCATACAGTAACCAATGTCTTTTTGGTGTGTTTTTGCCCTTTGGGATGTGCCTGGATGGTCCATGGGTTTCCAATCACTGTCCTGAACGTCTCCTCTTGGAAAGAAGGATCCACTTGGAAAGAAGAACAGACCTCGAAACGACAATTTCTGTCGACTGTTCAAATCGTAGGGCCCTCTTTTTGAGGTTTTTGGCCTTTTGAATACGTTTCAAACTATCAAAAACTAAATGGGAGCTAATGCTCAGTTCTTCCGTCATCCCACGCGCCGTGTGTGAAGGGTCAGTGTCCACCAGGGTCCTCAAATCATCGTCCTGGATCACTATAGGTCGATCACTTAGGGGCTCATATTCAGGGCTAAAATTCCCGGAACGAAATTTCACAAAACAACTTCAAACAGTGCGTTCACTAACACTATCATTGCCAAGTGCCTGGTTAATTTTATGGACTGTTTCGATAGCGCTTAGATTCAATTCGAATCTGCAGAGAAACATTGACATCATATAAAAATAAGCTAAAAAAAATTGTAAAGAATGAACAACATCAATGTATAGAGTATACAATTCCTCANTTGATTAGAGGTTTCCATATGTTACGTATCTCTACGCTAGCTTGACTAAATGCGTTGTTGGACAACATATACGCGGCTTCTTTGAATTTTCTTCTAAACCACTGTTCCTCTTTGTGAATGATTTCAGCTTGAGCCCACTTGATATTATGTTGATA